ATTTTAATGGATTTTTCATTTTCAGAACTATAAAACACGATTTAACATGCGTTTTACCCATTATGTTTGAGTTTAGTCGATTGTATTTGTTCTTAATTAATGATTAGTATTTGTGATAAATTATGTATTTTAGCCAAAAAAAATCGAAAATTAAAACTTCATCAATGATCAAAAATGGCAAATCCATAAAAAAAATTTAGAAAGTAGTAAAATCTATAAATATCAATTCAAAAAATTATAAAATCCGTAATAATTCATTTTTTATATGCCTAACCATTTATGTTGACTAGTTGATGAGGACAACTTGGGACTGGGAGGGTGTATGTAGGCGCCCAGAATTTAAGATGTGTCTTCGCTTTTCTGAAATTCTTTTTTTGAATTTATTTTTTTCTTTGTTAGTTGGCCACTATTGTTTTTTTTTTTTTTTAAGTAAAACACGAATTGAGTAAAAATGTTGATAAAACGAATAAGAAATGAGTAAAGTTTTAGTGAGTTTTAAAGAGTCACGGGCAAATACTTGTTCCTTTGCTGCAAAGGTAAAGAAAGAATAAAAACTCTCTTTCTCTTTCTCTCTACCTGAGCCAACTCGGTTTATACTCGGTGGCGACTCAAATGGGTCAAGAATCGTTTATCTACAGCTTCGTCGCCAGAGGCACTATGATCCTCGCCGAGTATACCGAATTCACCGGTAATTTCCCGTCTATAGCTGCTCAGTGTCTCCAGAAGCTTCCTTCCTCCAGCAACAGCAAGTTCACTTACAACTGCGATCACCATACTTTCAATTTCCTCGTCGAAGATGGCTACGGTTTTTTATTCTCTCTCTATCTCTTCTCGGGAAACGAACAGTGTTTAGTTTGAAGCCAGTAATGTTTTGATGGATCTTAGGGCATTTTAAGGATCTTCATAGATTGGATTCGCTTTACTTGGCGATTCAACAGTGTTTTGTGTGTTGGTTCCTTTGAGATTTGAGCTTAAATTGATTTATCCCTTCAAATAACAAATTTCTAAATAAAGTTATATCAACAAATTAAGTAAAGTGTTATCTAATCATGAATCTTGATAGATTTCTGTGGACTTTGTTCTCTTTCAAGATTCAATTAGTAAGTAGTAACAGAACATCTCAAAATTCTTTGAGTGTTTGGTAGTTTTTTTATGTACAATGCAATATGCGTCCTGTTTTTGGAGATACCTCAACGTGATGCGGTTTGGAGATGTTTGTGTCTGTCTTTTTGGAGATACCTCAACGTGATGCGGTTTGGAGATGAAACTACACACATGTGTTTTAAGATAATTTGGAAAATTAGATCATTTAAATCTTATATATCATGTGGATTTGGCATGCATGAGGCAGGATTTGCAATATGTGTTCCACTATATTAAAAGGGTCCATCTTTGGCATGCATTTGACAGGATTTGACTGAATAATGTTGCTCTCTGAATTGGAATCTACCCTATTTAGTACTCTATATAGGTTTGAAGGTTCTTAGACAGTGGTTAGTTACTAATAGTATTACTATTTCAAGTACTAGTACATTCTACTTGTTGTTACTTCTGCTCTGTTAAACAGAGATAAAGCATTTGCTTTTATGTGTGGTGTGCTTTGATTTCTACAGAACATTGAAACTGAGAAATGCTTTGTGTTGTTTTGCAATGTTATGAGGAGACCTAGTTCTTCCTATATCATGTCCTTCTGAGCATTCTTGACCGTATTGGTGCATTTCACTTATCTATGGCTCTTTGAAATTGTGTTTTCAGCATATTGTGTTGTGGCGAAAGATTCTCTTAGCAAGCAAATCTCGATCGCATTTCTGGAGCGTGTGAGGGCTGATTTCAAGAAGAGATATGGAGGTGGAAAAGCAAGTACAGCTATCGCCAAAAGTCTAAACAAGGAATTCGGGTACTTAAATTTTTGGAAGAAATTTGATACTATAGTGAATACAAGAGAGAGATTTTATCCCTTGACGAAATGGTAACATAAAAAATTGCAGGCCGGTGATGAAGGAACACATGAACTATATTGTTGACCATGCAGAGGAAATTGAAAAACTAATAAAAGTCAAGGCTCAAGTTTCAGAAGTTAAAAGTATAATGTTGGAGAATATTGACAAGGTAATGCTCATCATTGACTCTCTTATGTCTTTCTGCACACTTAGACAAGCAACAAATCATTCTTTTTTGCTTTACTTCTTACATGATTAGTCTGCAAAAAGGAATTTACGTATTTCACAGTGTCCCCTTAAAGAGGAGACAGATTACTGTGCATTTGTGCTTATACTCTCCAATATTGTTGATCCATTCTCAGGCGATTGACAGAGGGGAAAATCTAACGGTTCTTACTGACAAGACCGAGAATCTACGCTCTCAGGTAAGTAAATGCATAGTTGACCTTTTATAGCTAATCTTCTCTGACATATCATAACGTTAACATACGTTGATTTGAATCTTTATAGGCGCAGGAGTACAAGAAACAAGGGACACAGGTGAGGAGGAAATTGTGGTACCAGAACATGAAGATAAAACTTGTGGTTCTCGGGATCTTGCTACTACTAGTTCTCATAATCTGGATATCGGTTTGTCATGGGTTCAATTGCACGGATTGAAGACGCAACAAACTACTCTACGTGATGGTTAGAGCCATGGTGACGGTGTCAGACAGAGACAAAAGTCTCCGGTAGAGAGATTAGGAAAGAGAGAGGGGAACAAAATGGTACCATATTTATTGTAAGGTTTTGACTTTGGATGTTGTATTATTATATAAAGTGTTTGTGTTCTTTCTTTGGGTTCACCATATGCAAAAGGTGAGGATATGAAGATTCTTTGTACTATTTGCGTATTCTCTGTTGCGTAACTAAAGGTGAGGATATCTTAAACTTGCATAAAACATGCAAAAGGTTGATGTCTTGTTTGGGATTTAAGAAAACGAAAACAAAGCGCCCACCGTGGGGCTCGAACCCACGACCACAAGGTTAAGAGCCTTGCGCTCTACCAACTGAGCTAGACGGGCTTTGTGTTCATATGGGACCAGACAACATATATAACCTATAAATAGTTTTGGGGACCAGACAACATATATAACCTATAAATAGTTTTGCTAAACTTATAACACATCTTTGTATCCTAAGTGTTCTCTGATGGACCAACACTTATGCATGCGATTTCAAGTCTATCCACCGACAAATGTAATGACTATCAGAAACCCAAGACTTAAGGTTTAACTTTACATGGTTAAGTGAAAAAGATGCCGAATATTAAATCCCCTACTCTTAATATGAGAAATTCGCAGTGTCTACAACATATTTGTTCAAAGAACATAATTAGCTCAAAACATATGTTCTCCACATTATTTGGCAGCTGTACACAACCTATAAATAGTTCTTCATGCCCAGTAATAACTTGTAAGTGAAAAGGTTTAAGTTTGTGAACATTTTGAAGATTTTGGGCCATAAAATCAAAGCAAACAATCTGCTTCGATATACAAATCTGAATCATCAGCTTTCAAATTTGATTATTCACATATATTTGTAAAATTTTTAGCTTCTCGAAACTCCGATTTGCGGAAAATTGAGACTTTCATAGATCCAGCACCATGTTCCACAAAATTTGTAACAGCTACATATCTTAAAAACTCAAAAGCCAACAGATAGTTCTATGTGAGACTAGTTTAGTAAAATTTTCAAGCTTGATGAATAGTTTCAATCCTTCGGGCTATAAATCAAAGCAATATCAGCAAAATCAAAGCTATATCAGCAAAATCAAGCTGTCTCCAATACAAATCTTAATCATCAGGTTACAGATATGAAAATTCGCATATGTATGTAAATTTTTTTAGCTTTCACATACTTGAGAGTCTCACAAAACACCTAAAAGACAGATTCATAAAAATCGAGACTTTCATAGATCCAGCACCAAGTTCCACAAAACTTGTAACAGCTACATACTTTAAACCTCAAAAAACTCAAAACAACAAGCAGAAACAAACTAAGACCCAACAAAGACAAAACCTTTAAGCTTTCAAAGATCATCTTCACCCCTCAAATACTCTCCAATATCAGCCTGATGAAGCACAACGATACCATTAGGATCCAATTTCCTACAATCCTGAGTACTCTTCGCCGCAATCCCAAACCCTAACGGAACATCAGACATCGAGAACACAACAACACCATCTCCAGGAACAATACTATCAGTAATCCTCCCTAATCCACCTTTCAAGACATGGTTTCCATAAAGAAACGACATCTCCGAAGTGGGTTTAAGCCATACCTTGTGTTTAGCATTCGCCGCCAAGATATTGAGCGACATAATCGTCAGATGGAAACTACCGGCGTGAGTGTATTTCCCGATGCAGGTTCCGAACGAGACTAGGTTTTTTCTGGAGATGTTTGTGGCTCGCTTCACGAGTGCCTCGCTGACGTAGTAGACTCTGTTTTTCTGGAGGCGGAAGCAGTAACTTCCGGGTGTTGATTCGGGTCCTTCGTCTGATGGGTTCTCGACGATCTTCTTGAGGTTGTTGCCGACGAATTTGAAGAGCTTCTCGAAGACGACGGTCGTCTCGGTCTCGTCTAAAGGACGCATCTTTGGGGAAGAAAGTGATGAATTTTGGAAGAAGAGAAGCTCTCTGTTTCTAAGAGGGATTGTGTTTTTTAGGGTTTTAGGGATTTAGTACCAAACCTAATGCGGCCGATGAGTTTTGTTATTTCCCATTTGGTCCTTTGTTTTTAAAATATATATTATCATTCCAACCCCTAAGTTATTATTTTTGTTTAAATCCAACCCATGAATTATAAGTTTCCACTTCGAATTATATAATTCGACAAATACCAATTAGTATTTAATTTTAAAATTCGCTATGAATGATAAGTATACATAACGAAATATACGACAGGTCAAGACACAACCACGGCATGCATTTTACAGGCCATGTGGCTTCAACCCCTACATATAAGCCCATAACATTGCAGGACATATATAAAGATACATAAATTTTTGAGCAAATAAAAATAAAGAGAAAAATAAAGAAGAGTATGGAAGAATTGGACATAGTGATCGTGGGAGGAGGCATTGCTGGTCTTGCAACTTCCCTTGCTCTTCACAGGTTTACTATAATCTCCTTATTTTCTCAATTATATGGTAATTAACTTCTAAACCATATACATAAACTATTTATTGACTGATTAAACATATACAAATATGATTATAAAGGAAGGGTATAAAGAGCATTGTGTTGGAGAGATCAGAGTCAGTAAGATCAGAAGGAGCAGCATTTGGTATTCAGACTAATGGCTGGCTTGCTCTTCAACAACTCGGTGTCGCCGATAAACTTCGTCTTAAGTCTCTCCCAATTCATCAGTAAGTATATAAATATGTATATTTTAATTAACCATTTCTAGTTATAATGGTAATGAATTCTGGTATGGTACTAAAACAGGATAAGAGATGTTTTGATCGAGAAAGGGATTAAACAAAGAGAATCGGTTGGACCGGCGTCATATGGAGAAGTAAGAGGTGTGCTAAGGAACGACTTGGTCCGAGCTTTGGCTCATGCTCTTCCTCTTGGCACTCTCCGGCTTGGTTGCCAAATTGTGTCGGTTAAGCTCGACGAAACAACATCGTTTCCTATTGTACACGTTAAAAACAGAGAAGCTATCAAAGCAAAGGCACGTTTAGCAACAGTAGATACATTTATTGTCAATTATCGAGTAGTGCCGTAGTGGAATTTTTTAGTATATACTTTATAGTTTATATTAGCCGACAGTGACGTCTATGGTCGTGAGCGGATTTTTTTTTTATAAATGTTTTGTGAAAGCAACATGTTTAGCATGAAATGCATGGTCTTATATTTTTTGATACTTTCTTTTAATTTAGGTTTTGATTGGCTGTGATGGATCGAATTCTGTAGTCTCTAGATTTCTAGGACTAAATCCGACTAAAGACCTCGGTTCGCAGGCAGTCAGAGGGTTCACAAATTACCCGGACAACCATGGATTCCGGCAAGAGTTTATAAGAATCAAGATGGACAACGTCGTAAGCGGACGACTTCCTATAACAAACAAACTCGTCTTTTGGTTTGTTGTTTTGCTTAATTGTCCCCAAGGTAATTAATAACCCGCTCATGGTACAATTCATACTATAGAGTATAGACTTCTATTTTTTTCATATAACTCATTGACTTATATATGATGAATTTGTTATATAAATAGACTCAAGCTTTTTAAAAAATCAAGCGGATATCGCAAGATTGACACTAGCATCGGTCCGCGAATTCTCAGAAGAGTGGAAAGAGATGGTGAAGAACTGTCATATGGACTCTTTGTATATCAATCGTTTAAGGTACCGTGCTCCTTGGGATGTTCTGTCCGGAAAATTCAGACGTGGCACTGTGACAGTTGCCGGAGACAGTATGCACCTAATGGGTCCATTCATAGGACAAGGATGTTCGGCTGCGCTTGAGGACGGTGTTGTTTTGGCTAGATGCTTGTGGAGGAAGTTAACTTTAGGTCAAGACGGTATGAATAATGTCTCTTACTCCTCTTCAAGGATGCAAATAGAAGAAGCGATTGATGAGTACATTAGGGAAAGAAGAGGGAGACTCGTGGGGCTTTCGACACAAACGTATCTTACCGGTAGTTTAATCAAAGCTTCTTCGCCGGTTACGAAGCTCTTGCTTGTAGTTTTGTTGATGATTCTGTTTCGTGATCAAATTGGTCACAGTCGATATGATTGTGGCCGTCTTTAAATTTATCTTGCGTACGTACGGTCTAAATGCTAGAGATTGTGTGCTTCGTTAGATGTTTGTATCAGGAGGATGGTTACTCATTTTGTTTGCGAATGTTTTATGTTTTTTTCTCTTTTTATGTTTGATTATTGGAACCATGATATAATTAGTCTTTCTCACTTGTGAAAGACAAAAGGTCCAATAAAAAAAATAACTAAAAAAATTATTGGGCGTCTTCGTCTGCTTAAAATTTTTCTCTAACAAACATGTTTCATCCAATAATTGCGGATTTAAGTTTTTCTACCAAAAATGATCAAATATTTGGTTATAAAACTTAAAACATATTTATGTAAGAAGGATAAAGTTTGAACATTATATTGATTAATATTTTTGAGGGTCAATTACTCAATTATAAATAGTTACTTTTAAGAAATTTTATTTTTAATTAGTTTTATTAATAAAGACTAGAGATTACGAAATGCCCAATACAAGAAACAGTGAGTTTTCAATCATTTCTCAAACTTTCAAATTATTGGTTATCAAAAAGGTAAATTATCAATCTTGATTCAAGTAGATATATTTTAATAAAAAAATTTATATTCAAATGAAGCAAGAAAAGTTCGTCATTTTCTTACAAAAGCTCACCTAGTTAAAGACTTAAGGTCTACTAGTCATTAGAACCTAAACTGCACCAAAGGAAAGGTAGAGAGAAATTATCAAATTCTCCAATAGGCCACTCAAAATGTAGAAGATGAATTGATGGAGGAGATAGAAAACTAATCAAAGAGGAAACCAGAATTGCATGATCTCGTTTAGCGATTGTTCGATCCTTGGCTCAAAGCGAAGATGTTTCCCGTTTTTGATGATCCCATCTTTATTCTTATATCAAAATTTAAAAGTAGAAGATTGATTTTTAACAAAATATGATATATACCAGAAAAAACCACAAAAGATAAGTATTGAGTCACACTCATTACACATATTGATATTGTATGCAACTAGTCTAGTTGTTTTATCCAAAAGATGAGTTAATGTAAGTGGCGTCATGGCTTGCGTCAACGGTCAAGTTACTTCATAAACAAAGAGCACATGTTTGACTCGGAAAGACCCACCACACTCACGTAAATTGATTGTCTCCCAAGTAATTAATTAATTGTCTATGAAAAGTCTTCGCTGTTTCTCCTCTGTATAAATATATATGAAAACTATACTATATACACATTCACACAACTTAAAACCAGTACACAAACAAACCTTTAGATCTGAAAATATCAGCTATCAAATGGAAGAAATCGGAATAGTTATCGTCGGCGGCGGAATCGCTGGTCTCGCCACTTCCCTTGCTCTTCATAGGTTTGTTATTAATTTATTGTGTAGTGAAACTCAAATTTTTATGAGTTCGATGTAGTAACTTAATTTTTGGTATGTATATTAAAATAATGTAGGAAAGGAATAAAGAGTGTGGTGTTGGAGAGAGCAGAGAAAGTGAGATCGGAAGGAGCTGGAATCGGAACTCTCACTAATGGTTGGAGGGCTCTTGATCAACTTGGCGTCGGTGATCGTCTTCGTCTAACTTCTCGTCTTATTCACAAGTAAGATTATTTTCTTATAGTCCTAATTATTATTGATCATATTTTGATTTAGAATTTATATTTACTTTGGATCTTTCTTGGATGTGAACAGGGCACGGACCATGTTGATTGAAAATGGAAAAAAACAAGAATTTGTGTCAACCCTCGTGTATGTCTTAATTCTCCTCCTTAATTCGATCATCCTATACTATTATTTGGGGAGTACACTTTATAAGATACCCTTAACTAACCTTTCCTTTTGTAAAAATTTACTTAAAAATGTCATTAGAAATAAAATTTTATAGAGTAAATTAATTCAACTCATTAAGGATAAACAAGTCAAATACTATTTTATGCAATTTAATTAATTAAATTTAATTATAAAAACGAAAATCTATTATTAATTTTTTTTAAAAGAATGACCAATCAAAATGAACATATAAGATTTGATATCTAACTTATCACATTAATTTGTTATTAATCATTATAGTTCACCACTCATCTTTATATTATTTTATTTCTATAAAATAAATAAATTATTATATCATCTACATAATAAAAAAAAAGTAAATTTTTTCCGGATATACAAAGATTTGAATTTTTAAAAACGAATAAAAATTGTTCAATGTATGAAAGAACAAATTTAACGGGTCAAAAATTCATATTTGAGTAATATATTCCTTTTTTTAATATCATCAATACTTAATAGATCAAAAAGTTAAGAAATACAAATACTCTAATTTGATTTTTTGAAACAAATATTTATAATAGGTGGCGGGTTAAATATAATGCATTATATGATGAAATGAGTTATGATCCTTATAACTATTTGAATATTTATATTTAATTTCATATATATATATATATATATATATATATATATATATATATATATATATATATATTTAAATTCATAATTTTACATACTACAATAAATTTTTTAAAGATTTTAATCTGGAACATTTTAAAAAAGTTTAATTTAATATATTAAAGAATATCATAAATATTTAATAGATTAAAAAGATAAAAAAAAATTATAAATACTAATTTGATTTTCTAAAAAGATATGTTTAATATATTTATAGTAGGCGACATGTTAAAAGTAATGTATTATATGATAGATAGTTATGATCCTTATAATAGACGACATTTTAAGATTTTATGATGAGATGAGTTAAATAAGGTTTGACACTTCTAAATATTTGAAAATTTAATTCTGCAAGCAATTTTGGAAATAATGAATAATAGATTGTGCCACAATATTTTCATAGGGATTGTAAAATGAAAATATAGACTCCACACACGGATCGAATTTGGTATTATTATATACCAAATATATGTTCATAACATATTCGATTATGTGAATAATTGGTAAATTCCGTAATTAGCTCAAACAAAATTCTATTTCAACAACCAATGAATTAGAATTTGAAAAAATAATTTCCTAAATTAATTCAAAATAATAGCTAACTTTTTTAACTAATTCAAAATAATCTACGTTTTAGATGCGATTCATTTATGATATTTTGATTTTTAATCTAACTAAATTATATGCACTCTCATTTTGTGGTTGTTAACATAAATTAACTCATTGTTCAAACAATATTATTTTTTTGAAAATAATATTATTTTCCGTTTTCATATCTTTAAAAAATATATCCATAATTGAGGATTACAGAAAAATAAAAATATATTCATTCTAATATTATATATCTGGACTGACATAAAAAAAATGAATATTTTTTTATTTACTATTATAATATATCACGATTTTATTCTATAACTACATAATATATAAATTTTGTAATAAATGAAATTCAACCCGTACTGTAGTACGGGTGATGATCTAGTTTATATAGATATTTGTTGTGAATTTGGTTATTGATTTGGCTATTTAATACTTTGATTTAAACAGAAACGAAGCTCGTTGTATTAAAAGGAACGATCTTGTTGAGGCCTTAGCCGATGCTCTTCCGGAAGAAACCATCCGGTTCGGTTCTCAAATTGTTTCTATTGAGGAAGACAAAACTACGTCGTTTCCGGTTGTTCACTTAACCAATGGAAGTACCATCAAAGCCAAGGTAAAGTCTCATGATTGTCTATTTAGATCACACTTGTATTTTGCATTTATTGAATAATTTTTGATGTTTAAAATATCGAAGTTGTGGTACTATTTGAGAAAAATGTGAACACTAATGCAAACGTGAACAAATTATTGAAATCTTATTTATAAGCATATCAATAGGTTATACAATCTAATGTTTTTCTCCTCCCATAGGTCTTGATTGGATGTGATGGTGCCAATTCTATCGTCAGTGATTATTTGCAGTTACACCCGAAAAAGGCTTTTGCTTGTCGGGCGGTGAGAGGGTTTACTAATTACCCAAACGGCCATGGATTTCCACAAGAGGTTCTAAGGATAAAGCAAGGAAATATCTTAATCGGAAGGCTTCCTTTGACCGATAATCTAGTATTTTGGTTTCTGGTACATATGCAAGACAATAACCACAACGGTAAAGATCAAGAATCGATTGCGAATTTGTGTCTTAAATGGGCCGAGGACTTGTCTGAAGACTGGAAAGAAATGGTGAAAATATGCGATGTGGAGTCATTAACACTCACACACTTAAGGTACCGTGCGCCGTCGGAAATCATGTTTGGGAAATTTCGTCGTGGGACAGTGACTGTAGCCGGTGATGCGATGCATGTGATGGGTCCGTTCTTGGCACAAGGCGGCTCAGCGGCGCTAGAGGATGCGGTTGTTTTAGCTAGATGTCTAGCTAGGAAAGTGGGTCCGGACCACGGAGACTTGTTAAAGGATTGTTCGATGAAAAACATTGAAGAAGCTATTGATGAGTATGTGGAGGAACGTAGGATGAGATTACTCGGGCTTTCGGTGCAGACTTATTTGACCGGACGTTTGCTACAAACGTCATCAAAGGTTATGAGGCTAATGTTTATAGCTTTGTTGTTGCTTTTGTTTGGTCGTGATCAGATTCGTCATAGTAGATACGATTGTGGCCGTCTCTAGAGATTTGATGGACACTTTGTAATTTTTAGTGTGAGATTGTGTGCTTTAAACTTTTTTGTGTGTTTCTTTTTCTTATAACATCTTTCTTTCTCAATTTAACAAGAGTTTACATGACCATACATTATATTGCAAATGTAATTTATCAACATGGCAATAATAACAAATAGTTGTAAACAGAAGAAACGAAATTATGGCTTAAGCAAGTGTAGCATTTGATTTCTGCTTCTACTTATTTTTCTAATATATAGTTTTGTATAATTTTTATCTATATATCATAATTATAATGTATTATATGTTGTATATGATTAAACCGCCTAAAATCGCTTAGACCCCGATTAGGCGCTCTACGCGTTTTAGGCGCTAGGCGTTGGATCATTTCCCGCTTAGCGCCTAGCAGTTTCTTTAACATTGATAAAAAAATATATATGAGCATCTAAACTCATTACTATAAAATTTTTGATATAGATTTCAGTAAAAGTAAGTGAATAGACACTACGATTTCACTGAGATAAAATGAGCCTAGGAACCAATATCTCCAAGATACGTGTTAGGATCTAAGACTCCCCTAAATTTAACCAATTCTCATTATTAATTTCAGTATCTAGCTGTAACAAATTTTCTAAATTTACTCCTTTAATTAATTTGTAAAAGATTCCTTTATTTTATAAATGATTTTTTTCTTTTTTTTGACACCATTAAATAAGATAATTTCCTTGAAACTAACAAATTTTTCCTCATGTCACATGAGTCATGTTTTTGTTTATCTCCAAAATAGGTATGTATATTACATGTAGTTTTGCAAATTGTATATTTATGAGACTAAAATGGCTTCACAACTTTTAATATTTCATTTTGATTCACTGTATTTCTGAAGTTTTCCCTTTTTGAATTTCTGATTCTTTTGTTTCTATTTACTAAAAAGTTTTTACTATAATTGTCTATATTTAGTTTATTTGACTCTTTTTTCTAACCTTATAAGCTTAAAATCTCAAAGAGTTTATGTTGTGCTCTCATTACAGTTATGGCGAATCTAACTCTAGAGCTAAACATCAACTCCGCAAGTAACCTTTTGAATGTCAACCTCATCACCAAAATGAACGTTTTCGCTGCCATCACCATCAACGGCGAGAATACCCGAAAGAAACAAAAGGCGAAAACCGCTGTTGATCGCAATGGTGGATCTAACCCGACTTGGAATCAAACCGTCAAATTTTCCGTTAACGAGAGCTTAGCCCGTGACGGTCATTCGACAATTGTCATGAGATTAATCTCTCGTCGATTCTTAGGCAACAAAGAAATCGGAAGAGTTAACATCCCGTTACTTGAGCTTTTGAATTCAATCACACCATCAATTAACGGTGATGGTAACGGTAACGATCAGGAGATGAAATTAATGACGTATCAGGTGAGAACTTCGTCAGGTAAACGGTCAGGCTCTTTGTCTTTCTCGTACCGGTTTAAAACAAATTTTCCAGTGGTCACTAACCGGAGTTCTGTACCACCATCTCAAATCGAGCATCAACCTTCGGCTCCACCCGAATTGCCGATTGAGTTTCCTAAGCTGTCTCAGCCTCCGTATCTTCGGAGACATCCTTTCGCCGCAGGATCTAGTGGTGATCTTCTTCCAATATCCTATGGTGCTGTAATAACAGAGCAAACTGGTCATGCTAACAATTACGCGCCACCACCGAGACAAGGATATGGACCGTACGGTTATGTGTCGTCGGGATATCGATACGGAAGTCCATCGTATCAACAACGGAAGGAGATAGGGCTTGGACTTGGAGTGGGAGCCGGGCTTTTGGGTGGACTAATGGTGGGAGACATTGTGTCTGATGTTGCAAATTGTTATGATCTTTGAATTTTATTTCATTTTGTTTTCTCTAAACAATTTCTTTCCCCTATTTACATGAACTTATCATAGGTATGTTGTCTTCTATTTCTTTTAAAACTTTTTTGTTGTATTAATCAAACAAATAATGGGAAAGAGTTTAGGAAAAACTTGATAAATGGCAAAAATAAAATAAAACAAATCGTAGCAGAAAAAATGTTTCAACTCATTTTGCTTGTATGATACCATTCCTTTTTTTTAGATACGAACACTTTCTTTTTTCATCTACTTTTTCCGCCTTTAATTGTTATATTGGTCATCATTTTTATATTCTTATAGTGTATGCTTATCAACTACTTTATAACAAAACTAATCTTATTTTGTTAATTTGGATACATTTTAAACATCAAATTTCCTCAATCCAACCATATAACAAATGGTGTCAACTGTCAAATAAAAACGCCTAAGCATCAAAATTAACAAAACTCATCATCAAGCAAGGCTAAAACATTGGTACCGATCTCAAGTTTCATATATAACCAACAAACTCATCGAACACATTTCTCACTAATATCCCAAATCATAATCTATTGAGTAAAATATTCTTGTGTATATATATTCTGAATTTCCCTTGAAACTATATCTATATATTTCCTTGTCTGCTTTCTTTTGTATATATATCTAAAAGAGGCACATCTAATTAATACATGCATCCAAATCTTCAATTTTTGAATTTATCTAAATGCATTGGATTTTATTCTTTTTTTCATTCATGAATGTCAAGAACTAATTTCTTTTTTGACTCACTAATTATTTTCTTCCTCTTTTTCAATAATCAGTCAAATATTTATTTATTTGGTTCATTACCCAAAAAAGTTTCATTGTTACACCTTTTCATATCCCCCAACAAAGTCTCAATGCAACGTCTCTATAAATTGAAGTCTGATTATAAGTGTATCATTAGGTAACATCACCTTCACGTTGAAGCCATGACGAACCTAACCTTAGAGCTTAACATCAACTCCGCAAGTGACCTTGAGAATGTCAACCACATCACAAAGATGAACGTTTACGCCACCATAACCCTTCGCGGAGACAAAAAGCAAAAGAAACAAAAGGTGAAAACATCCGTCGATCACTCCGGCGGGTCTAACCCGACTTGGAATCACGCCGTCAAGTTTTCTATCAATGAGAAACTAGCCCTTGAAGGTCGTTTGATACTCGCGGTGAGATTGTTCTCCAAACGACTCTTAGGCGATAAAGATATTGGTGGAATCGAAGTCCCGTTACTTGACCTCTTGCGTTCACATACACCGCCAACTAACGGTAATGGTAACGGCCAGGGGACGATGAATTTTGTGACATATCAGGTGAGAACTCCGTCGGAGACAATGAAAGGTTCTTTGACTCTCTCGTACCGGTTCATTGGAGCAACGGTTTACCAACAGGCGCCAACGTGGGCTACACCGAGTCAGCAAGGATATGGACCGTATGGTTACATGCCGCCTCCACCGCCAATTGGATATGGATACGGAGTTCCGCCTCCACCGCCTCAGCAGCCGACGAGGAATGAAGCAAGGCTACAAAATGGTGATACTTTCTTTTCAGCAATGTCATTAATCAGTTAGTGCCTTAGTGACAATTAAGAAATGTTGTTCATCAATGATGGACAGTTAAAGATTTTTGTTATTGAGTGTTTTTGTGGTAATGAAACTTTTAATAAAATCAATTTTTTTTATTACTTCTTACTTATTGAAAAAGTTTATTACGTTCTTCTTAGCTTATTATTTATTTGAATACATTCAAAGCATCAAATGTCCTCAATCCGACCATATAACAAACGGCCTCACATTGTCAAGTATAAACGCATAGACACCTCAATCAACCAAACTCAGCAAGATTATCTAACACATTTCTCACCATCCCAAATAAAAATTTCCCGTGCTAAATATATCCTTGTGTAGAATTGTGTGCGTGTGTGTGTGTTTTTTTTTTTATAAAAATTTTCCCTTGAAACTAAATCTCTATGTTTCTTTGTCTGCTTTTTTTTTGTTTGTACAATTCTAATAGAAGCATATCCATTACATACACTTATATACATTCTACATATGCATACAAATCAAAATTTTCTTCAGTTTTTGAATCTACTAAATGCATTAGATTTTAGAGTACTATTTTTATTCGTAAATCACAAGAAGTAATTTCTTTTTCCGACTCACTTATTATTTTATTTCTCTTTTTCAGTAATCAGTCAAACAAACATTTATTTGCTTCATAACCCAGAAATTTTTTCACTATTACACCTTTTCATACTTGAAACCTTCTACTCCACTCCGAGTCTTTCCTCTAACTCGATTGAATGCGAGATAAACCGGCTCTTAGGCGATAAAGGTATCGGTGGAGTCGAAGTCTCGTTACTTGACCTCTTGCGCTTGCATAGTCCAACTAACGTTAACAGCCATGGCATGAGGTTTGTGACGTATCAAGTGAGAACTACGTCGAAGAAAATGAAAGGTCATTTGACTTTCTCGTACCGGTTCAATGGGGCTATATCCAGTCACGGTTACCACCAGGTGCCAACCTGGGCTCCGCCAAGTCAGCATGGATATGGACCTTATGGTTACATGCCGCCTCCGCCTCCACCGCGCTACCGCCTACCGGGATATGGATACGGAGGTCCGCCGGCCGCCGCCTCAGCAACCGACAAGGAATGAAGCAAGGCTATAATATATAGATGCTGTTGTGGATTTAATTACTGATAGTTAGTACCTTAGTGGCAATTAAGAAATGTTGTTCATCAATATTGGACAATTTAAGTTTTGTGTTGTTGAATGTTTGCATGATTTTTTATGACGTCTTGCTTATAAATAAAAAAGTTTGATGATTATGAATTTGACTTCATGGCATATTCATTTGAGTTAACAAAACTTTTTTGCGTTGCACCTTGAAATTTATAAATTTATGATTTTTAACCATCGAAATTTATATGAAAAAGACTATCTACAAGCAAAACCCACCGGACCACCAACAGGTTTAATCCACAAAATCTGTGAACCTTAAAAATTAATTAAAGCCCAAAACTGGAAGACGTAGCTACAAGTCTGGAAGACGTAGCTACAAGTCTCTTATTGCAGAGATCTAAATTAATGAGAACATATAATATACCCAAGAGGAGCAAAATAAGATTAGTAGCTTACATTAATTTTGTGTTGAATAAAATGAAAATTTTCACTATGAATAGCAAAAAAGAGGTTACAATCGAACTACCAACCTCATAAAACCTCATTAATGAGATCCTGACTCGTGAGCCAATTAAATCTCATGGTTCTTAGTTTAAATAAGTTATAAACACCTCCTGATCAAAGCATCACAACCACAACATATCAAACAAAAAAAACCTATTATCAAAAGAACTAGAGAGCAATGACTAATCCCATGATCAAGGTTATGCTATTGTTGTTTCTTGTGTTGTCGATTGGAGCAGACGAAGAACTGATGAAGAAAGAGTGTAGCCAGACAGGAAACCAAAACTTATGCCTCTTTTGTCTTGAATCTGACCCAATCTCCTTCCAAACCGACCGTGCTGGATTCGTCAGCATCACTATACACTGTCTCAAATCTCAACTTGATATTCTCATCAAGTAAGTTTCATTAAACCATTAATCATTATTGAACAATTAACATTTCAACGTATTTTCACAAAATTAATATTACAACGTTTTTGACTTCCCCGGTAAAGTTCTTTTTTGGTTTCATGTGAATTTTACTACGGTAAACTTACTCTACAAAAAAAGAAAAGCGTTTTCCAAGTGAAAAATACACGTTTTGCGGTTTATATATTATAGTAACGACTATTGATTTGTTTTTTGGTTGTAGCGACGTCACGAGTCTGTCGAAGAAAGGAGAGGGTGAAGCAATTGAGAATGTTCTGGAAGATTGCAACGTAAACTTTTCGATTGCAGAATTACAACTTAACGAAGCCAAACGCAATTTGGTAACCCTTAATTACGAGAAAGCCTTCGAATCGGTGAAAACTTCGGTTAGCTATCTTCAGACTTGCAGAGGAAATCTCCAAAAAATCAAGTTCAACGAGTCACCTCATGAATTTTATGACGATATCGATATCTATCTCAATCTCTCCTCTGTTGCTAAGACGTTGATCCTCATAAAAGTATATATTACATACGAATATCAAAATCATTGAAGAACTATTCCTACAAAAAAAAAAAAAAAGTATTACAACAAGCTAACCCAGGCTTTTGTAACCATGGCAACAAATGATTTTTGTGAAGATATAAACCAACACTTAACGCATCCATAGAAGCATTAAGTTTCCAAAATGTCGTCGATGTCTTCTAGCTGTGATCGTGTTTCTAATCAGTTTGTCAATCTCGGTAAATATCAGAGGAGAAGGGATGGAGAGAAGATTAAAGATCATGTTGTTTCTCTCCCGCCAAACAATGTATATCAATTCTTGAGTTGCTAATTTCCGGAGAATAGAAGGTGAACTATCCGTCTTGCGCTTTAACCATGTCAGCATATTTGTCCAAGACTGGAAGGTTGTGGCGGAAAGACCAATCCTCTGCTGAATAGCGTGCCACAGATCTTTGTTATACTCACAATGAAGAAAGAGATGATTCCTGGTTGCCTCAAAAGCAGAGCACAGACAACATGTTGTAGGAATCAACATTCCCCAAGAGGCGAGTCGTATTCGCGTAGGTAAGCGGTCAAGCTGGGCTGTCCACATTGTAAACGCATGTTTGGGGGTGGCTCCTTTGAACCACACAGAATTGAACCAGTCTTTAACCTCTTCTCTTGGCCTGACCGCTTCCAACATTAGCTTTGAAGAGAAACCTCTGCATTTTACATCATTCACAATCCAACAATAAGTATCCTCCAGAGTAGAGTTACTAGGTAATCTGATTGTTGTCAAATGACTGTGAAGAGCCATATATAGCCTGTTCTGACCTCGGACTCGCCAGAATCCAACCTTGTTGGTTACAAGCATCATCCACTTTGGCATTTAGTGGGATACGGCTACTTCTCGGTCCCTCTTCTCCCAATACATTAATTAATGGACCAAGAGGAGTCCAACTATCAAACCAAAAGCTAGCAATTTTTCCATTTCCCACACTGCATTTTACAAACCTTTCCGCTAGTGGTCTTAGCTTTAATAAGGTTTTCCAAGTCCAAGAATCATTCACATGATCATTTTTTTAGGGTCCAAAAACTTGAATTTCTGAGATGGTGATGCTTATGCCAAGCAACCCACAAGGACCCACTCTTTGAGAATAAGAGCCAGATGAGACGCAAACAAAGGGTAGTATTCCATAGAGAGAAGCGTCTCAACCCCAACCCGCCTTCTTTTTTCGGTAAGGAGACGGTGGACCAAGCAACTTTTGCCAAACATTTGCCATCAATAGTACCAGACGAAAGGAATCTAGAACATAGTGACTCAATCTTTTTAATACAACCACGAGGCAGAATAAAGGTTGTGATCCAGAAGTTTACCGTTCCCGCGATGACCGAAGAGATGATCAGTTGAAGTCTTCCCACAAAAGAAAGGAAACAAACAGCCCACAATCTGAACCTTCCCGTTATCTTATCTAAAAGAGGCGCATACTCAGAGATTTTTAGCTTTCGGTACATCAGTGGCAGCCTTAGATATCTTATAGCCAATGGGGAAGCCGTAACTATTAATGGCATTGGAATCAATCTGGTTCAACTCCGTATGAAATAACTGAGTCTTGTCCTCTGAACCTTAAAAATTAATTAAAGCCCATATCCACTTTGCTTGAATGTAGGTTAGACAAAACTTTAAGATGTAGCTACAAGTCTCTTATGGCAGAGATCTAAATTAATGAGCACATATAATATACCTAAGAGGAGCAAAATAAGATTAGCAGCTTACATTAATTTTGTGTTGAATAAAATGAAAATTTTCACTATGAATAGCAAAAAAGAGGTTACAATCGAACTACCAACCTTATAAAACCTCATTAATGAGATACTGACTCGTGAGCCAATCAAATCTCATGGTTCTTAGTTTAAATAAGTTATAAACACTAGCTACTGATCAAAGCATCAACACCACAAAATATCAAACACAAAAACCTATTATCAAAAGAACTAGAGAGAAATGACTAATCCCATGATCAAGGTTATGCTATTGTCGTTTCTTGTGTTGTCGATTCGAGCAGACGAAGAGCTGATGAAGAAAGAGTGTAGTCAGACAGGAAATCAAAACTTATGCCTCTTCTGTCTTGCAACTGACCCAACCTCCAACCAAACCGACCTTGCTGGATTCGTCAACATCACTATAAACTGTCTCGAAGCTCAACTTGATATTCTTATCAAGTAAGTTTCATTAAACCATTAATCATTATTGTACAAATAACATTTCAACGTATTTTCACAAAATTAATATTACAACGTTTTTGACTTCCCCGGTAAAGTTCTTTTTTGGTTTTATGTGAATTTTACTACGGTAAACTTACTTTTACAAAAAAAGAAGAGCGTTTTCCAAGTGGAAAATATACATTTTCCGGTTTATATTATAGTAACGACTATTGATTTATTTTTTGGTTGTAGCGACGTCACGAGTCTATCGACGAAAGGAGTGGGTGAAGCAATCGAGAATGTTCTGGAAGATTGCAACGGAGACTTTTCGATTGCAAAAATAGAACTTTACTTAGCCAAAGGCAATTTGGTAGCCCGTAATTACGAGAATGCCTCCGGATTGGTGAAAACTTCGGTTAGCAATCTTCAGACTTGCAGAGGAAATCTCCAAAAAATCAAGTTCAACGAGTCATCTCATGTTTATGACGATATCGATATCTATGTCGATCTCTCCCCTGTTGCTAAGACGTTGATCGACCGTCTCCATTAATATATATGTCGATCTGATTATCAAAAAAATATTTATGTCGATCGTTTGCTACCACCTAATTAAATAAAATAAAATTCCATTATGTGTGATGTGTTATTTAATGTAATTGCATTCATCCACCATTTACTAAGCACTGAAGCACATGTGTAGAAAGTTCATGTTTCAAAGTATATTTAGGGTATATACCATGCATGCATAAAAGTATATCTTATATAATATGAGAAGGTTTTCTTCTAACTTTACCTACCATTGCGACATTTGGCACTCTCTTTTGGTGACATGTGTCCTCCTTCAATTCATTAATGTTTGTTTTAATTTATTTAAAATCCTTAGGTTTGAAAGTTTGTGCCTACAATTTAATTCCAAAAAAGATATTTCTCTTATACTATTAATATATTTGACATGTATTTAAATTGGAATTTGTATCTAATTTGTTTTGCCAAAATTATTATCTACTTAAAATCACGACTTATTCATCTGATTCAAAATTGTGGATCAGTAAATTTTAACTTCACAAAATATTAGTACATTTTTAAAACTTCTCATAATATTAGTACATTTTTAAACGACATTATTTATAAAAAAAAACCGAATAAATAAAAAATGACCCGAAAGAAATCATATTACTTTGTAAAGTTAAATTTGAATTTAATTAATTTTCTGTTTTTATTTATACAATCTCATATAATTGAATATTTAATTTTTAATTAATATCGTTACTAACTAAATTCGAATAATTTATTTTTATGTTTGTGACTAATATTATATCACGTATCAAAATACGGGAAAATCCCTTCAAATATATATAAGCTTTGTTAACCATCTTGATTCATCTCCTATATGTTTGTATATGTTGTTTGCTTGCTTATAAGGTATATTTCATTAATTTGTTTTCCTCATTTTTCTATCTTACATAATATTTTAGTATCTCCATAAAATACATTTCTAATCTTTTCTAATTTGTCTCTTTTTTTTTCTTCTTTCCAATCTAACTTTTTTTTAAAAAAAAATTTCTCTTTTTTTTCTTCTTTCCAATCTAACTTTTTTTTAAAAACAACTTTTTTCCAAGTTGGAGTATTTATTTACAATTTTTTATTACACAATACATTTAATGTATTTATATAGTATAATATAATTTACAGGAATTATTAAATTTAATATGTCATCCCATATATTGTTTTATAAATGTCTCAGTGAATGAAATTATAACTTATATAACTGTCAATGTAATTTTAATAAAAAAATATAGTAGCGTGCTTTATATTAATGTATTCCTCCATGTGTCTTCTCTCAAAATAAATGTTTGCGACGAGTTTTCTTCTCCAGTAACGCTTTTCATGTGGCTTCTAATACTGAAATATATTAATGTTTTTTTTTTGTTCTGGAATTAGTTACCCAAAGTAAAACCCACAAATGAACTTATTAAAACATATGTAACGTCAAATAACTCTAAATTGATGCATTAGTGATTAGGCTAACAGATAACCACAATAACTCTAATTAATTCAAAACATTAAATCCAATTAATTCACAAACATGTACGCTAAGTCTACTTCTATATATATATGGAAAAACTACAAAATCTACCACTTTTTCCTAATTTCTTTTAAAATCTACCACATTTCTTCCCTTCTTTCAACTCATACCACATTTCGATGTAGAGTTACCATTTTGCCCTCACTACTTGACAACATCCACTTTTTCACTTCCCTCGAGATTCGTGCACTTTAACCCCACATCATTATCCCCCTCAGAGAAAACAAAACGCCTTCGTCTCTCTCTCACTTTCACTTTCTCTTTCTTCTTCAGAACTCGTCTCATAATAAACGATTTCGTTTTGTCTCCAGATCTTGTCCCCGATTGAAAATTCTCTGTTGCTTCTAGATCTTGTCTCCGATTTCATCATCTTGCTCTATTATCATGAATGATGAATCCCACATCTTGTCCACCAATTGTTCTCATTTAAGGGTTTCGAATTTTATTTAGATTTTTCACCATCTTTTTTGGTCAACAGATTAGTTGAGCATTATTGTCTTCACCTGCCCGGATTATTGAATTTTTTTTCCTTCTATTGCAGAATAACAGAAAGATCCAGTTGTCCCCGAGTAAATCAAGATCTCTGGCGGGCAAAACTACACCATCTGGCAATGGACAGTCAAGAGAATTGGATGATAAAAATCATTACGCTCAATTTTTGATCTAATTATATTACTCATTCGATTTGACTTGTCCCCGATCTAATTCTATTACCCATTCTATCTGAACTTGTCTCCGATCTAAATCTATTACTCATTCGATATGAACTTGTCCCCGATCTCATTCTATTACTCATTCGATCTGAACTTTTCCCCGATCTATTTCTATTACCCATTCGATCTGGACTTGTCCTCGATCTAATTCTATTACCCATTCGATCTGAACTTGTCCTCGATCTAATTCTATTCCAGTTGTCCCCGAGTAAATCCAGATCTCTGGCGGGCAAAACTACACCATCTGGCGATGGACAGTCAAGAGAATTGGATGATAAAAATCATCACCCTCAATTTTTGATCTAATTATATTACTCATTCGATTTGACTTGTCCCCGATCTAATTCTATTACCCATTCTATCTGAACTTGTCTCCGATCTAATTCTATTATTCATTCGATATGAACTTGTCCCCGATCTCATTCTATTACTCATTCGATATGAACTTGTCCTCGATCTCGTTCTATTACTCATTCGATCTGAACTTGTCCCCTCTTTTATCTGATATATTAAAAGAGCAATTAATGGCCTAACCCTACTCTATTATCATTTTTATTAATTAAATTCAATTATCTAGCAAATGTAAATGTGCAGCATTTATTGCAGACCTGCTCCTTCTTTGGAAGCGCCGGAGAAACTGTCTCTGTCTCTGACACAGACTCTGTCCCAATCAGGGGTATTTTGGTCCACAATTCCACATGTGCTATTGGAATGTAGTAGATTTTGAAAACCTTTTGAGAATGTGGTAGATTTTGAATGCCAGTTGTTGAAATGTGGTAGATTTTGCAATATTCCCTATATATATTACCCACATGTGAAGCTAAAAAAACTATTGTAGAGTTTTTGCTTTTTCCAGTCCGTTCTTTTATTTTTTATTGACTTTTAGTTGCTTTCTCTTTATTTCAGGCTATCGTCCATATAGTAAAAATATCTACAAAAGTTTTCTCATTTGGTGTTCAAGTTAGGTTTGTGATTAATTTCATATGGTGTTCAAGTTAGGTTCACCAACACCATTAGTTCTACATAAAAGTGATCTATTTTTTTTTAAGTTCTATTTTTAATTGTTTCTCTATTTTTCAACTCACCAATAAGATTTGAATACATACATTGAGAAAATTTATATCTATTATTATGGTCAGTTAAAATGTAATTATAAATTAAAGTATTTAGATAAATGACATTACATTATATTTATTATATGTATTCATAAATTTGAAAACAATAAGTTTATTAAAAAATTTATGATATAAATTGAAAAACCATTTATGTAATTATTCTCAACATCACTTATCAAAAAGTTATGAGTTTGTTTTCAAATTTATGAATATGTAAAGCTGTTTCAAGATGATTTTGTTCTTGAATACGTAAAACTCATGGGATCATGAGTCAAAAAAAGAAAATCAGATAGTTTATGCCATTTTTTATTTATTTTACATAATTACTCAACGTTTGAGAGGGATCGACGTTTGAGTTTCATATATCTCGAGTAAATAGTTTTTTTATTTTTAATATTGTATAACATTTGACTTGATTATGTTTTGAATTCAATTTTTTTTTAATTTATCATACAAATTAAGTAAGAAATAAAGATCATATGAAAGTATATAAAATTTTGTATTTATTTTTATCAAAGTTTCCATAAAACCAACCCAATGAAATTCAACCAAAAATTTTAAAAAGTTCCACCAAAGGTTTTTTTTTAATCTATCCTCATGTGATTTTTGAAAAGAATTATGTTTGATAAGGGCATTTGCATAGAATATCATAATTGACTAATTCAGTTAAAACCTAACATGCCATTAAAGTATTTAGATAAACGGCATTACATTATATTTATTAAATTTTTGTACTCTTATGACCTATATATATATATATATATACAAATAAAATGGCATATTTATTTTGTTTTCAAACAATTGAATATATATATATATATATATATATATATATATATATATATATATATATATCAAAACTGAACTAATTTTTTTTAATATAAACTTTCAAAAATAAAATTTTTATTATATCATCTGAAGTCATTTTCCTAAATTAAATATGATTATAATTAAGTGTAACATATATATTTGTTTTTTGCGCAAAGGCTGATTCAATTTAACTTAGGTTTGGGGCAGGTCCATTACAAGAGAAACCAGAGACTGTTTTGCCAATGAATCGACATCTGAGTTCTGGAAACGGGGAATGAAACTAAACGAAATAACATCAAAGGTAGAAGATAAATTCAGGATATCGAAGAGAATCCCATGAAGCTTCTTGTGTTGAAGTTCCGATGACATTAGCATATATAAAATATGTTCCGATGACATTTCTAGCTGTGCTGAGTCGGAAGCGAGAGAGAGATGTGAAAAACCCAGATTAACATATATAAAATATGTTTTTGCTCATTTGGACCACCTTGCTATTTTATTAAATTTAATCATTATCACAAATTATTTAAAATTTTCTTAAATTTTTAACATATATAGATAAAATTTAGCAAAAAATAATAATAAATATGAATATGTTTTACCTTTGATCTCCTAATTTTATTATGGATTATATGGATATAATATATAAACCTTATTGTCGAGGAAAATTCATGAGATTGGGAAGATCTACCTTCTGATGAGATCCAACGAGGGAAAACGGCCAATATCAACCCCAATTATCAACTCGAAACCACATAAATGTCAAACAACAAACCAGAACTATGTAGCCAATTTTAACATATACCTGTTATTAAATAATGTAACAAACCTGAATTATTTAACCTTTAACCAATTGAATAAAAGGAATGATTCAGATACAAAAGAACATATAATTACGACTTAACAATTCTAATCGACATTAACAAATACAAAAAAAAAAAAAACTGTGTTGAAATTTGATAACGGTTAGATAGTTTAGGTTTGTTTTTTAAAAAATTGTATGAGTTCAGGTTGATTAGTTCCGGGGGTCAGAGTTTGGGATGAAAAAAGCCGCATAGAAATAGTTGGAGTTGATTTTGGCCGTTTTCTCGATCCAAAGATCATGAAAACAAGAGACTCTACGATGAAGCATGAAGCAGCAAACAAGAGACTCTACGATGAGGTATGATATATATATCTCCACAATAAAATATTTTATGTAAATGAAGAAAAAGTAGTGGTATATACTTATGTCATACCATCTTGAATAAAAAAAGAAAAGAATTTATTTTTTAGCAATTCACAAAAGTACTTCGAAAAGGAACATAAAAGTTAATATTTTAAAAAATTCTTTTCAAAAAACTATATTAATAATCGAACGTATTACTTTAATACAAATTTCATTATTATCCAGAATTAATATTAAATATATAACCCACGCATCGCGTGGGCAGCTTTCTAGTATTACATACGAAAGAAGAACTATTCCTACAAAAAAAAAAAAAGTATATAACGGAAGTTATCTTTTCGAATATTCAATTATGTTTTGTTTATATAATACTATTATAATACCAAATTTTACATATTAATTATGTGCCTTTATGTTAATAGTATCTTTCTTTTTGTTTCTGTGGAACTTGTCTTGTGACTTATGTTATGTTTGATAGTGGGAAACCACTCGGTCATAGACAATTGGTACTATATGTTTTCTTCTCACGTCTTGGATTGGATTTGATAGACAATAGGTATCCATGTCCTAGATATCTATGTACAATGTCTAGCGTTGGAACTTCACAGTCAATTTCGAACTTCATAGTTTTTTAATTTCTTTTTACGTAAGAAATGTTGTCTTTTTGGAGCGTCACTTTTTTCATGTAGCATAAACATTTTGGTGTCTGATTTGCCTTTAATGTTGTTCCATTTTTTTTTTTGTGGCTATGTGCCCTTTCACACTACCTATGGGAGACAAAGTATATTGAATTCGTGTGCAAGCTGTTTTCGATTTCTAAAATCGATCGATTGCTTATTACGTGAGCACCATGAACCATTAGTGTTATCACATCAAATTTTTGTAACTAGTATCACTAAATCCTTTTGACCAACAAAAGTTAGAAAACAAAAAAATATCACCGTACGTTTGAGCATTGACCAGCGTGAAATCGATATTATTTGGTCCGTACATATATAATCCGTTTTGACCAAGTTGTTTTTACGTCATCATTAGTTTTATTTTATTGCTTTTTCTTTGTTTCCATTTTTTTTTGCCGTAAGTCTCCATGTTACTTTTTACAAACTATTAAATATGTTACTTGAAAAAAAAAAAAAAAAAAAAAACACGACAACCATCATTTATAAGGAAACCATATGATTTTACATGAGAAATTGGTTAACTTGGATCTCATAGATCATAAACTATACCTGCATATGAAAGGTATAATACTAGTATGAATTCGAATATTCTATCGAGAATTATAAATGATGTTTAATTACAAGTTGAACCAAACAAACTCTAATTTTTCTATATGGATTATATAAGTATTTGATAAGAGTTTGAATTTGAACCAAACAATAGGATATATATACTCTATGACATGGTCAATTATATTTGATGTACATAAACTAAAGGAACTAAAGATGACTCGCGAAATGACATCCATTTTTATATTTTCAACAATTTTTTAACATAAGAAGATGTCCACACATAAATTGTATATAAATATCTTTGTATACTTGATAATTTGCCAAGATAAAACAAAACAATACTCTGTTGAAAATGTCTTCACCACAGTTGCAAAGAGCCATGGAGAACCCAACTCTTGAGCTCAAAATTGTATCAGCCAGTGAAGTCAACCATATCGATGCCACGGACAAAATGGACGTATACGCGGTCGTTTCAATCAACGGCGACACAACTCAACAGAAACAAGCGGCAGCCAAAACTCCCATTGATTACGACGGTGGTTCCAATCCAACGTGGAATCACACCGTTAAGTTCTCTGTCAACGAGAGAGAAGCCAACGAAGGCCTATTAACTTTAACGGTCAAGCTATTTAGCTACTGGCTACAAGGTGATAGTGACCTTTATTTGGGAGAAGTCAACATCTCGGTTCAAGAGCTTCTTGCCTCAAATCCGATTCCACCGTTTACTACCGGTAATAGCAACAAAATGAAGTCAATGACTTGCCCTATCAAGGCCACAGAAGAAAGGACCAACGCAAGGCTAAGCCTTTCATACCGGTTTAAACCTGTACCGGTTGAAGAACCTTATCCTCCATCACCGGATAATTCGCCATCGATCGGTAAACCTGTTTACCGAGACCTGGATCCAGCCAAATTAGGTCAACCTCTCGTATTTTCCCCTCGGTTTCAATCCACCACGGGGAAACTTATCCTAGAGCTCGTGATCAAATTCGCCAAGAACATCGAAGATGTCAACGCCTTCTCGTCCATGGACGTATACGCCTCGGTTGCGATTCTTAAAGACAGAAAAGTTAAGAATAGGGTCAATACCCCTGTGGCTTTCTCCGCTTACACAAACCCAACGTGGAATCAGAAGATGAAGTTTTCTCTTGATGAGAAGTCAGCTCAAGAAGGGCGTTTGATGCTTCTAGTGGAATTGATGAGCCACCGGCCTTTCCTTGGTGATAAGGAAATTGGATTTGTTAGACTTCCGATGCAACAGTTATTGGGCTCAAATCCGCCTTATCCGTTGACCAATAGTGGTGATGCTAACGGTATGAAGTTGGAGACGCACGCTTTGACGGGTCCTTATGGAAAAAAAGGTGTCGTGAGCTTCACGTATAGGTTTCTTGCAGATCAAGTTACAAGCCCAACACCATCCACACCAGGTCAGCCATATATAATGTATTTACCGGTCTCGCCTCAGTCATATGCGTCATCGGATAAAATTCAGGCGACCTCGAGCTACGTGACTGTTCAACCAGGGGCTAATTCTGGGACAACCAATGGTCTAGTACCAATATATATGCCGCCTACATATCAGTCAAATGGATACCAACAATATTCACCACGGAATCCGAAACCGCAACCGCAGTCGCCACCACAACAGTAGCAGCTTCAACCGCTGCGTCTGCAGTAATTACCGGATACACAGTCACATGGATACCAACAAGCAACAATCCTTCCCTTGATTGAGAAAAAGCATAATGCGTCGCACCCGTGTTACCATGTAATGCATGCAAAATTAAACAAATATTTCCCAGTTGTTGTTTATATTTATATGTATTTGGATATTTATCATTTTTGAATTTGCCTTCTTAATTTGTAAGAAATAGTTTCTTTTATTTTCATTTCATTTAATTTGTTCCTTGGTGTTTTTAATTAGCTTGAACCTCAATATAACCCTTAAACGTATATTGTAAACGTTTTTTCCGGTCACATACATTAATTTTTTTAAAATTCTAAATGTATAGTTGAACTTTTCATCACAAGGATTTCGATTTGACATATTATTTGTCAAAATTTTACAAACTTGACGGTAGCGAATAAGGGTTACATTGCGTATTATTTTGGACTTAGTAGGATTAATCTGCAAGGGTAATGTTACAAAAATGGGCGAGTTTGAGAGTTTTTTTCCACAAAACTCTTATTTTGTTTCTTGTTTTTAATTAGTTTGAAAATAATATTAAGTTTTAATTTCGACTTTTTCATTTCAAATTTGCCTTTAATCATCACTCCTTTTCATATACTGTATATAGCATTTTTTTTCCCCTTTCACAATTTAAGTATTTTATTATTGGCCCCTGGCCCCTGGATTGGGTTCCAATCAGGTTATCTAAATATAATATGAAAGTATGTTTGACAATTAAAAAGCAAGTATAATGTCATTTCTCACTTTTTCTTTCTAATGTTGAATCACTTTCTTGTTATTTCTCTTTCTTTTGTTGTGTGGAACTCGTCTTAATGTGTGCTAGTGGGAAACCACTCGACAAAGACATCTTAATTCTCTTGGGAAATTAAATAGTCCTTTCATATATATTTTCTTTTTGGGTAAAATCATTAGTTAATTTAAGGAGTTCATAAGTGGACTTTCAATTTCCAGCTATGTGCTTGATGTTATAAGTGGACTTTAATTAGAGTATATTCCATGAACCATTGACTTCTTAAGGTATACTCTAATTTAAATTCAGTTTAATAATTCGTATAAACTACTGTGATAGCTTTGTATATTGTTGTAAACATCAAAGATGTCCACGCATTTCTAGATAAATATCTTTATCAAAGTTCCACAATAGCCAAGCTTGCCCAAGACAAGACTCAACTCTTCTCTCGGAAAATGTCTCCCCCTCGAGAGAAGATCAATTCAACCCTCGAGCTCAAAATCATTTCAGCTAATGACGTCGGCCATATCAATGTCGTGGATAAGACGGACATATACGCTGTCGTTTCAATCACCGGCGACAACATTCAAAAGAGACAAGGTGCCAAAACACCCATTGACTTCTACGGTGGTTCCAATCCGACGTGGAATCACACTATGAAGTTCTCCATCAACGAAGAAGCAGCCCTATTGATCCTCAAGGTCAAGTTATTTAGCTATTGGCTTGATGGAGAGGATGACCTTTATTTGGGAGAAGTCAACGTTTCGGTTGAGGAGCTTCTTGCTTCAAATCCGCTTCCACCGTTAACTAACGGTAGTGACTCTAAACTCGAGTTGGTGACTTACCCTGTGAAAATCATGGAGAGAACTAACGGAATGCTTAGCTTCTCATACCGGCTTAAAACGGCAGTACCGGTTGATGATATGTATCCTACGGCCCCGGATTCTTCGCTATCGTATGGTCAACCCCTTTATCCAACCCCAGCGAGTTCAGGTCAGCCCGTTTTGTATTCCCCTCAAATTCAAACCACAGTGACTAAACTGACCCTAGTGCTCATGATCAAATCCGCTAAAGATATAAATAAGGTCAACATGATCGGCAACGAGATGAGCGTATACGCTTCGGTTATGATTGGTGGAACCCTATCAGCAACATTTAGTGATAAGACCAAGACTCCTATCGCCTATTGCGCCTATAGAAACCCGAGATGGGACCACCTAGTTACGTTTTCTCTTGACGAAAAGTTAGTTCGACAGGGTCTTTTGACTCTTATTGTGAGATTGTTCGGAGTTCGAACGTTTCTTGAAGATAAGGATATTGGTGAAGTCAAAGTCCCGATTCAGGAACTCTTTGAATCAAATCCACCATCACTTAAGTCAACTACAGGTGGTGGTGATGATGATAATAGTATGAGTTTGGTGACGCGGGGTGTAAGTGTGCCGGGTTCATATAGAGAGAAAGGAACACTAAGCTTCACTTATAGGTTTCTTGCGGAGCAAGCTCCCCAGCCGTTTATTAGGTCTCCGATTCATGGAACCTCAGGTTACGCGATTGTTCAGCCAGGAGCAAATGCTGGGCCGAGTAACGGTCAACTGCCAATTTATATGCAGCAACAGAATCACCAGTCACATGGATACCAAAGTTACACACCACCACAGCTGAAATTGCAATCACAGAAATCGCAGTCTCAACTCCAACCTCTCCAGCAGCCACTAATGCATACACAATCGCAATCACAATCACATGAATCACAGCAATACCAACAATATTCTCCACCAGCGCCACAACAACTTCCACCAACACAATCAGAGTCACATACACAAAGTTCACGACCAACAATGAAGTCGCAAGAAGGGAGTATCGCAGCCCTAGGATTAGGGGCGGCGATTATGGGACGAGTAATAGGTGGAGCTTTAAATGGGTGACATGACGTCCGATGAAAAAAACATGTAAGATGTTGAGGCCTGATCGGCATAATTTATTTCCATTGGGTTTAACTACTTTTAATTTCGTTACTGTGTGGTGGCATTCGGTTTGGCTTGTGAATTCTTTTGTTTCCTTCACTTGTTTGCTTGGGAAAATTTATGATAATATGTAATGCTCAAAGAGTGAGTGTATGTATTTCATTGACTTGTAGTCATCTAACATTTCTCAGCCCTATATATGAAATATGGCCCTGTTCGTTTCTCCATTCAGATAGATCATCTGGATGGAGATGAAAAATGATGTTCGTTTTTTATAATTTAACAGATCATTTGGATGAATTAGTTGGATGGATCATCTGAATGAGTTTGTAATTTTAGGCAAATTTGTCAAACTCATCTGGATGAACATGATTGGAGCGTTTGGATGGAGATGATTTAGTCAAAAATAACAAATGACAAATATACCTTCATTTATAATCATAAATCAAATAATGTTTATTTTCCATAGATTTTTTTCATTTTATATTCTAAAAATTACATATTTGAACCAAATAAAATCTCTAAAAATCGTGAAATCAATGATTATCATTTTTCGTCAAAATCATAAAATCGCGGAATTGTGTTTTTTTTCCCGCCAAAAAGTGAAATCGTGATTTTTGATAGAAAATTATGGAATTCATCAAAACCGCAAAATCATATTTTCTCGCCAAAACTGCAAAATCATATTTTCCCGCCAAAACTATAAAATCACGATTTTGGCGGGAAAATTACGGAATTCTGTTTTTCCGCCAAACCCAAAAAAATTGAAGAATTGTGTTTTCCACCAAAACCGTAAAATCACATTTTCCCGCCAAAACTATAAAATCACGATTTTGGCGGGAAAATTACGGAATTCTGTTTTCCCGCCAAAACCGAAAAATTGAAGAATTGTGTTTTCCACCAAAACCGTAAAATCACATTTTCCCGCCAAAACTATAAAATCATGATTTTGGCGGGGAAATTACGGAATTCTGTCTTCCCGCCAAAACCGAAAAAATTGAGGAATTGTGTTTTCCACCAAAACTGTAAAATCATGATTTTGGCGGGAAAATTACGGAATTGTGTCTTCCCGCCAAAACCGAAAAAATTAAGGAATTGTGTTTTCTCGCCAAAACCGTAAAATCATATTTTTCCGCCATAACCACAAACCTTAATTTTCCACCAAAAAATTGTAAAAATTATTTTTTCCCGCCTAAATTGCGGAATCATATTTTCCCGCCAAAATCGCAAAATCATGTTTTCCCGCCAAAATTGCGGAATCATTTTTTCTCACCAAAAATCTCAAAATTATGTTTTCCGCCTAAACCGTAAAATTATCTTTTTCGTCAAAACCGTAAACTTAATTTATATGTTCAAATAATAATTTAAAAATTATATAGATGAAAATATATTTTAGAGCAATAATTAAATTAATATAGCTTAGATTAAGATTTAAAATATAAGTAAATCAAAGTATGAGTATTTTAGTAATTTTTTTGTTAAAGTCATCTACATGGAGATAAAGATTTGTAAAAATTAAACAAACAAACAAAAATTCATTCAAATGATCCATCCAAATGAACATCCAAAAATTGAAACGAACAACATTCAGATGGTGCATTTGGATGGAACATTTAAATGGACCATTTGGATGGAAATGGTAGATGATGAAACGAACGGACCCACAATATAATAATAAATCATTTGCTCAAATAAACAAACTTGCAATATGTGTAACTTTCAATTTTTAAGGACTCACTGATCAAGAGAAATTGAACTATTTGAATGCTTGCTACAAGGTTCTACACATTAGAGTCAATTTATGTTTCATCTCTGACAACAACCGTTTTGTTAACTTGTGCAGCCAAATCTCAATATTCAATTTCTGAGATAAAAACAGAATGTTCACGAGAAATAGTTTCAGAAAAAATATGCGAATAATTTTTGAGGTAAAACAAAGTGGTTGCGGGAATGATATCAGAAATAATTAAACATATGTATATGAGATCTAGGATATTATTGGAGCCAAAAATTTTAAGTATAATTACATATGTGCTGAAATTAAGTAAAGAACATCATATTAGTAGGTGTTTTTTATTGCAAACAACTGAACATTCACAAAGACGCTGAGGAGTACAATCGCAGTTCTTAGGCCTTTCTCTTGCACTTCGTGCACCCAAGAAGTCAAAGAAACAAATGGTTCGTGGACTGCCTCTTTCTGAACATGTTCCATTAAACACTTGTTTCCAACGACAATACTCTGGTTCCTTCATTGGTGCAACCTTTGGTTCTTCAGTTTTAGATGTCACAAGCAAATCGACTATTAGTTTATGAATCAATACTTTTTTAACCCAAATTGTATTTTTTGGTGGGCAAATATATGCATCTAATTATGATATAATGAATTGTTGTTATTTTTTAACTCAAATTGTATTTTTTGGTGGGCAAATATATGCATCTAATTATGATATAATGAATTGTTGTTACCATGTGATAAGAGGGTGAGGATAAGAGAGAAAAGGACACAAGACGCCAAAAAGATTGCAGAGACCTTTTGTTTCTCTTTTGACTTTTTTTTTTGTCAACCATACATTAATTAAAAAATAACTTCTTGATTAGAGCATCTCCAACCGTAGTGTCTGGAAGAGTGTCTGAAGATTAAAAATAAAAAATAATAAAAAAAAAGTTGGAGAGAGTGTAGACACATTTCTGGTTTGAAAAACTTTGAGAAACTGTGTCTCCACTTGTCATTATATTATTGGCCAAATTCTTTTTTTTATAATTTATAATTTAAATAAATAATTTATTTATTATAAAATGATTAAATTATATTTTTGAGACACCCACACAGTGTCTGAAGGATGGAGATGGTCTTAGTTGCCCAATTAGGAGGAGAAGAGTTTACAATCTAAGCTGTCCGCCTTAACATTACTTTTTGACTATATTTTTTTCTTCTTTTGAAGATTGTATGATATGGTTTCAGCTGTAAATTGATTATATATAGAGCTGCATCTCACATTTTTGGAAACACAATGTAAATGTTTGACCAAATTTATATTTTTTTGTCATTTTAGAGTATATTGAAAAAAAGTCATGGGAATTACTTTGTTTTGATATACCATTTATTGTTTAAGGGATGTTTAAACTGCTTTTTTTTTTAATAACTCAGGTGATCAGAAATGCTATCTAGGCCTAAAAACTTTTGATCATGTGTGAGTAGTCTTATCATTGAGTTTAAAGATTTCAAAGGGATATTTATTTAAATTTATTTACAAATTATTTTTATTATGAATTGTTCTTTCTAGTTATCTATCTTTGATTTTTCTTAATACTTAATTTGAATTACGCCATTTTAACTAATATCTGAAATCGAATTCATCAATCCACCAAAAGTGGTGTTGAATCGCTGGATCTATTATTAGATAGACAAAACTTCTCTAGCCAACCAAAAATTGATGTTATTGTGTTTTGTAAGTTTATTGAGTTTGGAGGTAAATCAGGCTGGATCGATTATTAGATAAGTAAAAAGGAATGGTCACAAGATATAGTTTCAGAAAGAAATATTGTGAATACTTTTGAGGTAAATCAGAGTGGTTGCCAGAATGATCTCAGAAAACTAAAATATGACCACTTAAAATAATTCAACAGTTGAATATGAGATCTAAGGTATTATTGGAGACAAAATTTAATTATAATTGAAAATATGCTGAAAATTAAGTAAATAACAACATATTTGTAGGTGTTAATTATGTATACAACAATCAGTGCAAATAACAGAACATTCACAAAGACGCTTGTTATTGGGCTGAGGAGTACAATTGCAGTTCTTAGGCATCTCACTTGCACTTCGTGCACCCAAGAAGTCAAGGAAACAAGTCATACGTGGACTGCCTCTGTCTGTGCATGATCCATTAAACACTTGTCTCGAACGACAGTACTTTGGTTCGTTCATTGGTGCATCCATTAGTTCTTCTGTTGGTGCAACCGTTGGTTCTTCTGTTTAAATGTACAAAATCAAATAGACTATTAGTAATATGAATCAATACTTTTTTTTAACACAAACTGTACTTTTTACGGTGGGCAAATATTTGCATCTAATTATGATATAATGTGTTGTTACCATGTGATAAGTGGGTGGGGATAAGAGAGAAAAGGATACAAGAAGCCAAAAAGATTGCTGCAACCTTCATATTTTGTTTCTCTCTTGACTATTAATCTTTTTTTCTTTAAAGATTGTATGTTATAGTTTCAGTTGTAAATTGATTATATATAGATATTTTGCAACTTCTTTGCATCTCATATCTTTGGAAATACAATGTAAACGTTTGACCAAATTTATATTTTTGTCATTTTTGAGAATATTGAAAAAAAAGTCATGGGAATGAATCTGTTTTATGGTATAACATTTATTGTTTTAAAAAATGTAATGCTTATAGTTAGGAAGGCTATTAGAAAGGATTTACCAAAGTTGCATAAGCTTTCATCAGCATATCCTTAAAAACATTAAGATATTAAAGAAACAAAATTATATTAGTCATTTACTAGCCTTAGACATAAACAAATTAGATTTAGCTAGCTAAGAAAAATGACATTATGTCGGTCAACATTCTTTTCATCAATAACAAGCATTATGCAAATTTGAATAAGAATTAGAAAAAATTATTATTTTAGTAACAAACTTAGGCAATTTAGAAATAAGAAACAACAACTTCTTAAAAGAAATAATTTCAAATTTTCATTGACTTAGTTGAATAAAACTCACCTTTGCGTAAGTAACATAATAATAGTTCTATGAATGTTATTTTAATAGACCATGTAGTATATCTTAGGACCGGACTTGTTCGTTAGTTCAAGATTTAAGTTTTACCATCATGTTTATTTTTTTTTTTCTCCGTTAAAATCAAAACACGTTACAACTTACAAATGCAACATACTAGGTATACCTATTTGCGTGATAAAACGATTCAAGTAAAATTATTATTGGTAAATAGAACATGGATTTGACTTTCCTTGATAAAAACAAAATACCATGCTTATTGATACAGATGATAATTAATAAAAAAAATTTTTTTTGTAGTTTTGTAAAGGGTCCTTTTGTAAACTGAGACTTTATTACTTATTTTAAATCTGGATTACAAAGAGATCTCATTCAAAAAAACATTATTGCAGATGGAAAAAAAAACTCCAAACCCTAATCATAAATCAAGGAATCGAAAAAAAATAACTTAATTGCTGCCGCAAATGACAAAACAGTCGCATTGACGATGGTTGTGAGGAAGAGGAGTGCATTTGCAATTCTTAGGCATAGCACTTGCACTCTTAGATCCCAACAAATCTAGAAAACATGTGTAGCTTGGACTACCTCTGTCTGTGCACGATCCATTGAACACGTCCTTTGATGGGCACCACTCTAACTCTGCGTACATACAAATAATATACGTAGACTTGTTAATGAGATTGTATTGTATGTGTTTTACATTTTGAACCGGTGTTTGATTGGTTAACGTACTGGTATTGACAAACCGGTTTCATATGAAAATATGAGAATCATACCTTTGGCTAGGTTGGTTGAGAGAAAGGAGAAAAGAAGACATGAAACCAATAAAATCGCAACGGCTTTCATCTTTGCTTTCTACTTCTTATGTTTTCTTCTTTCTTTGTGTAATTTAACCAATGCATGTTTCGTAGTAGGCTTTTGATTTTATTTATACAGAGGAATATTTAATGCATAAATTAAAAATTTGGTATATTTTAGTAATAGCGAATTCCTGAAAATCTGGTGTGTTTTGTGTTATGGTAAAAATTTGGTATGCATATATACTGTGGACATTTCAATCAAATTTCGTAGATACTGTCTTTTCCATACATGTGTGTGAGTATTTTCATTATTATTCAGTTTCCGAGATTTAAGATCTTCTAAGCTTATAGTTAACACTTTTACACAACATTTTCCTGTTAATTTCGTTTTCCGCATCTCCTATTTAAAATTTGCAATAAATGATTTTATGTTTTAAATGATTACATGCTTTAAAATTCTTGTTCAAAAAGGCATATATTTTCTTTAAATCATTTATTCTTTTAACATCATTCTTTGATTTATCTAAATTTGAGTCATCAAATGATCTCACCTACGTTTAATTTGTTTGCGATATTTTAAAGTCTTTGTACGTAGTTATAACGTTTTATATGTTTTTCTTGTTATTTATAATTGTTTTTACAAGGTTTGTCGAATATGATTAAACGAACTTAATTAGAATACTGCATAAGCAGAGATACTAAGTTTTGAACACAAAATTGTTAACTTGAGCTAGATCCCCTAATGTGATATTAACCACATATATCAATATACGAGAATAATATATTATCTGAATTAGTTCACCGTATTCTATACTCCCTTTGTCCCATTTTATTAGATGTTTTGGCCAAAAAACATAAATTAAGATTAAGAAACAATAAATGTTTTCTCATTTATAAAAATTTAACTAATAAAAAAAAATACTGTATAAAATAAATAATCAAAAACTATTAAATTAATATAAATTGTACATAGATTAGAGACTAGAGAAAATCTTATAAAATAGAACAAATGAAAAAGCCTAAAACATCTTATATAATGGAACATAGAGAGTATTATTTTTGGTACCCAAATTTTCTGCTACAATCATCATCACAGTTCAGCTATTGGTTAGTGACGTTAATTAGTCTCCGGTCTGTTGAATTTCAAGTCTTCACTGTGACATTCAAGACAAAAAAAGCTGTTACAAAATAGTAGTAATGGTTTGAATTGAAACCAATTAAATTCAACTGTATTAGATTAACCAATCGTTGAACTCTGATGGTTGTAGCAGAAACTTCTCACTCACGTGCACGCAGCCCCTACTAATCAAGAGGGACAAATGATTGTTTGGGTTCAATTATGATTTTAAAAAAGTAAGGTGAAATTGGAAGAAAATATAAAAGGTTAGTCTATGTTAGAAAACTATTTAAAGTTCAAACTAATTAAAATTATTTAAAGTGCATTCAAGTGTAATTAATTAAAACAAAATAAAATTAGCAAAAAAAAAAGCAAGATTCAAATCTTAGTTTTCCAAAAGTTCTATATTTCATGATTTTCATCTAATTAATGATATGGATAGTATGCGAATTAGTCTCCATTCCTAAATTGTCATGTCGATAAGGAAAGCTAACAAACATACCAAGATTAGATGAAATATAATATTAAAATATCAAAGAATTAAATTCGTAGAAGAAAAAGAGAATATGGAAGATCCCACATATGTATGTATATTATTCAAAAGGTAATCAATATACCAAATAAATATCCTGCGTCTTGGGACCGATCTGCAGAATCTGCAATCCGAAAATGGAGTTGGTAACAACTTGCGACTAGCCTTTTTGACATTTGTAAACATAGTTAATGCACTTTACTACAACACAACCATTTTTAAATTAAAAATTTATGATTATGCATAGAGCTGTTTATCCAATTTTAGACATGCATAACGAGCTAGAGTTTTCTTTTCCTTTTATTCCCAATGGATTTAGCCTTGCAAGACCCCCTAGATGACATATGAGAAAACCTAAATCCTTTCAGGGAATATAAATCAATTTCACGAAATAGCTTCTAAATATAATTAGTTAAATTTAAAAGTATTATTAGAAACAATTGTATATGTGATATTTGATATGACTAGGTCTATGAGTAAAGATCTATTAATGCCCTACTACTTTTGTGTATTTAGATTTAGATAGGGTTTAGAATAATTTTATTTATAAGAACAGATTTACATATTATATTCATACAAAAAACTATAACTCTACTCATAAAACTCTTTAAAATACGATACATTTCACAAGTTTTATTTTATTAAGAATATAAATATATACATAATAATTAAAAAGCGGTATCATGCAGCCCATTTAGCGAACTTTCAAACAAAATCCACAATGCACCATGGGCTGTTCCGCAAATTTTTAGTGGGTTTTTAAAAATTTAACTCCATATCCGATTCATTATATATTATATATTAGAATGAGTTGGGTTTGGTTTGCATGTTTCGTCCAAATTTTTACAGCTATAGTCATGTAAATAATATCTAACTTCATAACAATTTGGTGCTTCTGTGTCAATAATTAGTTGAATAAATCCCAAAAACATGTGGATTTAAGTTTATCGACAAAACATTCATATTTAAAAAAATATCTCTATCTTTTTAATCCAAATCCGTCATTCAATTTGTTAATTAGTCATTACTCCAAAATTTGACCATCCATGAATTCTATATCCTCAATTCAAATGGTCATTCACTTTAATCATATTTGAATACAGATAGTGATATGCTAGCGCTAGTATTACGAACCACCAAATCAGAACTCCGATCTAAATTCTTACAATTAGGGGATCATATATTCTCATTTCTAAATTAACAAGCGATATCCATAAAAGCTAAGAAAAATAAGGGGCAAAGTGTAAATTATTTCTGAAGCATTAATAAACCAGAGATACGAATTATAGAAAAATTACAAAAATTAAAAATTTAATTAATTAATGATTAAACATAAACCAAAAGAACCCTCCAAAAACTAAACACTCTTCTACACATTGCGTCTTGTCTGCAGAAAAATTCGGAGACGCAAAATCACCTTGACGCCGAATCTTCCTTAAACCTCGCAGCCGGTGACTCGATCACAGTGATCGAATCTTCCTTTTCAACTATCTCGTTCTGTGATCAAACGAGTTTGATTGAGTTTTTGATAAACCTGATTAAGCGATTGATTTCGCGTTTTTAAAACAATCAATATTGTGTTTGGAGATTGAACAAATTTAGGGTTTTTGAGGATAACCTAAGTGTTTATGATTTGAATCTTTGTGTGTTTTGAGATTCTGGGCAATGTTGGATTTTCGGGACGGTTTGGTGGCGGCAGAGTTAGTGTGTGTTGGGGTTTAGGAGGTAGTAGTAATTAGGGTTTGGAATCGGGTTATGTTTAGGGTTTTTGTAGTTGTACAAGATGGGAGAGGATTATGAACTTGAAGAAGGAGAGATGAATTGTTCTTCTGATGAAGCTGTTGTTGATCTTGACGTTGATCTCTCTTACATTGTGAGTCTCTTGTTTGTGGTTTTTTCATCACAAATATGTTCTTTGTGTGGTGTTATGTGAAGCCATTGTTGATCTTTGTGTGATGCTTAGTTTCTGATTATGGGTTGTTTTGGAAGTGTTAAGATCATATGAATAGTACTCTGTGTTTATAAGGCCAATGATGATTAAGTTTTGTGCATCTTAGTTTAGTTGGAGGAGGTATAGCTTTAGTAAGATATTTCAAATGCTATGTAACTTGCTTGTTTCTACTGAGTTTTGAGTTCCAGATAGAAGAACTATGCGTCTTTTGTAGCCTATGAAATCTCAATTTTATGCATCTCCATGAGGACTATAGTATGCTTTTATAAGTGTGGATAATCCTTTCTGTATCCTTGTTCTTTTTGTTTGCGTGGTATCTAATATTCTGTTGGATATTAAGTTTTGCTACTTGATCTTATTATATATTTGCTCTGCATTGTTAAAATCAAGTTTGTTGCTTTGTGTATCTAAGGACAAGAAGGTGCAGAATGTACTTGGCCACTTGCAAAAAGATTTTGGAGAGGGAGCCCTGGACCGGTTTGGTAAGTAATATTAAATTGGTTTTAGTCAGACATTGTTTTGAGAAGAATTGTCATTGTAGAATGATATGGTTGGTCAGGTCCGAAGATCTGTGACTATGGATCATTTTTGCCCACATACAAACGTTCGGTGGCTGTACCATCATGTCAAAGGAGTTCCCTAGGGAATCATGCTGTACAAAGAATTTCCAACAGTTTACCCGGGAAGGTATGAGAGAAACAATTCTCAATTCGATGTGAGGATAAAAGGAAAATATGGTAGTGAAAATACCTTGTTGTTTTTGTACTTCCATTATGGATTCTTTTGAGGTTTGAAGGAATCTGGACCTTTTAGTGATTTTGCTTCCTCAGTGTTATAAGTAGTTTACTTTTGAGTACTAATGAATTATTGTTTGCGCAGAATGTGGTTCAAAAGTTTCAGTCACTCCCTGCTACATCTTCTGAACTAGTAAGAAATCGGGATCCTCAGAACTATCAAACTTCAGGATCTCTTTTGGCTCAAGCTCTAGGAAAAGTTCCCATAAATAAAGGAAATGCAAGAACACCGGCCAATGATTTGCCTGATCATAAGCCTATTAGAGTTCGGATCAAAATGGGTTCTGAAATCTTGTCCCAAAGTGTCACGATGGTTTGTAAGGATCTTGGTCTCGATGGTTCTCCAAAATCACCACCCCGAACACATACATCTCTGGGGAAGACAAGTGAATCTCCTTCCCGCATTCTTCGGGTAGATCATATTTCACATTCTTTCGCTTAAATTTTTTTTGGTGTGTGGATTAATTCGTTTGATTTGATGCCAACTTACTTTTAACTTCATGAAACAGGAAATGACTGCCATTTCTGTTCCAGAGGATCTACTGATGTCGCCTCTTCCTGATAGTCTGCTTCTTGTGAAGGATAAGGAGAAGCGATATACTTTATTAGACAATCAACCTGTGATTAAGACAGGAAAGGAACCTTCTATTCAGACACAGAACAAGTTTTCGGATGTTTTATGTTGTGAGAAAACTCCAATTGGAAGGCGAAGGAAAGAGGTAGACTGCTTTGATGCCACCACTTGGAATGAGACGAAGAAGCAAAAAGTTTTTTCCACTGGTCAGCGAGCCAGGGATAACTCAGCTTGTGGTTTAGGTGGGGCAAGTTTTACTACAAAAAGTATCTTGCAGGAAGGTTGTAGAAAAGATGGAGAAAGTGATCCCAGAGTCGCAAATAAAATAAAGTTTGTTGGGTTGCATGCTGTGAAGGAGAAAAAGACATGTCCGACAAAGTTGCAACAGAACAGTAGCAAAAATCGTTTTGGTGATAAATTTTTATCAAAGATGCCTTGCAAGGATGCCACATATGTATGTCACAATAGCATGGACATTAAGTTTGATTTTCCGGTTGCAACTTCTTCCACCAGTGTTGACGTAGATAATTGGGCCCAATGTGAGAGTTGTATGACATGGCGGCTATTGCCCTATGGCCTGAATACTGAGCAGCTGCCTGATAAGTGGTTGTGTAGCATGCAAACCTGGCTGTAAGTATCTGATTATTCCATATCACCTCGTTTTCTAACATATCTCTTTTCAAGTATTTGTATCTTGTGCTCTTTCCTTGATTTAAGCACTAGTCTTTTTTAGTCGCTATAATGGTTAGTTTGAAATAAGTTTCATAGTTCTTTATAGGAGAAATCTTTTCAACCATGTTAAGGTCTTGTTCCCTAGAATGGCTGGGTCAAGCGTTAAAGATATAAAATTGTATTGACAACGCTTCTACTTACTTTGTGGATTCGGTCCCTCAACCTTGTGCAGAACCTCAGGTTATCATATTATCATAATTCCTTATTGTCTCTCTAAAATTCTCTTGTAGGCCTGGAATGAACCACTGTGGCGTCAGCGAGGAAGAGACTAAAAACGCAATGAAATCCTTTCATGCTAGTGAGGGTCATGGTCCTGACACTGGTGTTAAACTCCTCTCTGATGTTAGTAATGCTGATAAAAGCTACCAACCTTTAACTTCTGGTTCATTGCCTAATCCAATTGAAAAGAAGTCTAACGTCAAAGACTTATCACAAGGAGTTTCAAAAAACATGAAGCTGCCAGGAGAAACACTTAAGGCTACTCAGATGTCCACAGACCTTGGTGTGTCGCACGATTTTGTTCAGGATAAGATTGACCAGAAAGCAAAGTGGCGAGCAGCAGGTCGGTCTTTCCCTCTAACAGCTAACTAGTGTACATTTTCACTGCACTTGGGCTTCTTTTTATCAAAATAACTTGTTCTTATTGTAGGTACTGGTTGTCAGATAAAGATCAAGAAGAAAAAAGAGGCTGACAAAAAAGAAAGTGATGGTTCCAAGCATATCAAGACTGGTGATGGTACCAAACTCGCCAGAGGTGTTAAAGCAGAAGAAATACATTGGAATCAAGATCCGGAATGGACTCCAGCAGAGAGAAAAACAAAACGTCATGAAAATGATTTTTACACTTTGGATGTAGAGCGAGACACAAAGAAAAGATTACTCGCATCTAAAAAGAAACCTGACCACAAACCTCAACTGACAACTGCTAGTGGTTCCTTGTGTACAAAATCTCATGGAAATATCAATAATCCTGTGAGGAAAATAAGGTTCATCGGTTACAAGCAGGGTAAGGATGGGAACAATTCAAAATTGTTTGCAGATGGTGAGGAAAAAGAGCCCTCAATGGAAATGGCGGTAACAACTAAGATTTCAGTCCAGGAATCTAAAGCACACCAAAGAAATGAATTGTTTCAGGCTGATGGCTCTCAAGAACACCGGAAAGCTGATGCCACATGTAGATACTTCTCTGGTGGAAGTGGGCAGATTTCTGGGGTAGAAACATCAAGCTCGTCGAAGGTTTTAGGATCACACAAAAGTGGAAGAATGTATGTGGAAGAAGTAAAAGCATCCCCTGTGGAATCAGTTTCCTCTTCCCCTGCAAGGTCTTCATGCCCCACGAATCTTGTATCAGCTGGAGAAAGCATATCTCGGGAAGACCAAAACATGAAATATGGTGATGGTGGGAGTATAATTGTTAACAATAGAAAACCCCTATCTCAGGAAGCTAACTGTGAGATTTTGTCAACAACTCATCCTAGAAACAGGAATCAGCCAAAACCAGAAGTATGTAACAACTCAAAGTTTGGTGATTTACCATGCACAAGTATGAAAACGTTCCTTGAGAATAGAGCTGGGATAAAGAATTTCGGTGCCATTATTCATGAGACTATGGATAGACCCTGCCAGGCTGCGAATGATATACTTCAAGAGGCTGAAAAGCTGAGAAAGCGTGGTGACTGTTTCAAGGTCAGATTTTTATCATACCTTTAATGTAGTCTGTATGAATGATGACTGAATTGATTCATTATGAAAGGCTTTACGATTTATTTTATATGATACAAGAGAGACTAGGTAAGTACGAATGAAGATTAAATTACATTATTATCATTAATCTAATCGACTCCTTTATATCTGAAGCTTCAAGTTTCATCTGCTATAAATAAACAAACAAACAAATGATGGAACAGTAATATGAATCACTGCTGTCTTTCTTTTGCTAGTTTTGTGTTGGCTATTAATTTGGTTGTCTTTCTATCTCAATGAACTCAGAGCTCTGGATTAGAATATCAATACAAGGAGACCATCTTTAAAGCGGCTCTGAGGTTTCTCCTTGGAGCTTCAGTTTTAGAAATGAGCAGTACTGATAGTGTGGAAGGGGGGAAGATGAGCCATATTGAGGCTTACCATTCTGCTGCAAAACTTTCAGAGTAAGTGAATGCTTGTGCTTGCTCATTTCCCGTTTCCTTATGACTGAGGAAACTTCTCAGGAATCCAGTGTCTTTAGGTGTTGGTCTTTGACAGAATGCTGTTGATTCTCTTATGATTTTGTGGTCTTTGAACACTCTGCTTGTTTGTCACAGAAGCTGTGCCCATCAATATGAAACATGCCAAGAAATGGCTGCAGCTGCTTTGGCTTATAAGTGCACAGAAGTGGCTTGCATGAGATTAGTGTATGGCAGAAGTCTAGGTCTGAGTGGAGAATGGAATGAATTGCAAAAAATGGTACAGATGACTCCTCAAGGTAATATGAAATTTTTGCATCTATGATCATATCAGTGAGTGAACATTTTTTTTTCTGGAAGTTTTCTTTCAATGTGGTTAAGTCAGAATTGTAGTAGTTTCCATTGTCTAAAATAGTTCTCGATGGTTTCTTTTGCTCGAGTCAAAATTCTCTCAGAAGATGTCTACTACCATACATTAAGTAACAAATGTTTTGGTCACTTAATTAAGATATTTATCTCAGCAGTAGTCAACGTATACCTATTATTTTGACTTAGTATGTCCACCTTTTCATAGTTTACAGATTTAGATAGGTTTAAGTGTTTTCAGGAAAAACTTATGGTGGAAGTTCCTCAATATCTGGATAAAAACTAGAGAAAAATATGCTTGGGATCTATTTACTCGAAAGTTATTTACTGCTGTCTGTTTCAGTAAAGTCACATCTTGTTCATTTAATTGTTTCCTCAGGTGAATCACCGTCATCATCCGCATCTGATGTCGATAGTCTCAATCATCAAGGGGTGGTTGATAAGTCTGCTAAAACCAAAAGAGGTCTTTCCCATGTTACTGGAAATCTTCTTCCTGTTGCTAGAAGCCAACTAAATTTTGTTCCGTTATTGGACTTTGTAAGTTATCCCACCTTCATCAATTATGTCATGATACATTTGGAGTATTTGAAAAAGCGAACTGGGTTGCCTCTTACCTCTGCTGTTGGAGTTTTGAAATCTCAACTAAGATCCTTCTGTTGCCTAAGCTGTGGATGTATTTATTATCTATCTTCCTGTGCCAAACAAAGCTGATATTTTATATCTAATACAGACGGAGAGCATGAATCTGGCAATGGAAGCCTCAGCAAAATCCCAAAATGCTTTTAAAGCAGTCACTGTCACCTCAGAAGAAACAAAGCATGGAGACTGTATCTCTGCTATCAAGAAAGTTGTCGATTTTAGTTTCCATGATGTGGAAGCACTTGTAAAGATGATCGAGGTTGCCATGGATGCTCTACGTTCATCAAGATTCGGTGGCCCAAAGTGTTGACCCTATTTTGTACATAGGTTCTGGTCCTATAAAGAATAGAATAGTGTTTTGGGAAGAAGAGAAACCCAGAAGCGTTGGATCTAGATTACCTTTGGTTTCATGAACTTCCATAGAAAAATCTTATTAATTAGCATAGATTTCGAGGCGTATTACCCTTGAATAGATTAGGAAAGGAAGACTTGGAAAGAGGACACTAGATAAGGACATAAGGTCTAAGTTTGCAACATAAGGTCTAAGTTTGCACTTTGCAGTAACTCTCAGGGTCCTGTTTCAGGTCTTTCTTCTTTTTGGTGTCTGGGTATTCAAGATTAACTAAAGAATATTTATAGAAGAGTAGCAGGATTCTTAGATATAGTCATTTAAAAGATTGGTTAGTGATAAGAGTTGTGACAAGACACTGCTCTATGCCCCTCTAATCCTGTTTCAGTTCTGTTCAAAGTATTATCGGAATTGAAACATACATTTTTTTTTACGGTGATATATCAAGATTATGTGCTAATCCGCTTCTCTCAGGTATGTTCCCCTCTGTTTTGTCATCTTATTCTGCAGAGTAGCTTTTCACTGAGCAAATGATCACCATATTCATTCTTTTTGAACACTCATGTTACACAACTTCTTTGGTTTCTAATTTGACATCGTACACGAAACCTTCCAAAATTTGGCAACGGACATCATTCCTGTTTACAGCTACGTCAGTTATATTATTTTTCCCAGTAACATTATGGCATTGTCCAGTCTTTTTGTTAGCATAGGGGTGATTTAGTTTTAGACACTTATACTGCTGCTGAATGGGTTTTTCGATACACCAAATTTACATGTTAATTGTTTCGAAGTTCGTGTTGAACCCAACAAAGTATTAAGTAGCAGCCTCAAGCTACTTGTGGTGTCGTCCTTTTCATCTCAAAGAAGATGAGAATCCGGATGTTATGTTTGATTCATTTTCTGGCATTGCTGTTTGTATCTCTATTTAGTTATCTCTATTCGGCTTCATATTGATCCATGCAAGATGCTCTTCTGTTTTGATGTTCCTTTTTGGTGATGTTTGGATGTTTTTACGTCGCCATTCCTAAACGCTATCGCTCATGCCAAGTCGAAATAGCTAGCTTGCATTACTGTATAACGCATATTGCACCCCCTTTTTTTTTTTTACCATATGAGTGAACTGTAAATAGTTGTTCTCAACCAGTCAAGTCTATTTTCAAGTTTTTGTTTTTGATTTTGTTGTGGTGTAAGGTTAAAACTTTGTTTCTACTGTTCACATAGCATCAAAGTTGTATCTAAACCATAACTACCTCAATTTCTTAGTTAATCGTATTATGTTTCATTTTCCTTTATATATTTAAGCTAATTTAATTGATCTCCTTTGAACCGCTTCTACATCAAATCTTTGTACTATGAATGATTCTGAATATGTGGGAACAAAAAAAACCAATCTAAATTAGTTAAACAAATTCACCAAAAATCACGACAAGTGCAAGATCCATTCTTAAAACAATGAAACCTATTCACATCCCTAACAACAATTTCTCTCTCGACTATCTCACTGATCAGCTTGAAAGCCTCATGACAATCTCTACACATCCTCAAATTGTTCATAATCCTAATTGTTGATCCCGCAGGCAGATGAAGCAATCCATATGCTAAAGCCAATCTCTCACAATGCAAACTCACCATTTCCTCTTTAGCTTCCTCATCAACATCTACGAAAACCGATGAAGTGGTGATCATACTACTACTTCCTCTGTGTCCTCTTTCTTTCATTCTCTTCTCCAGATCTTTCAGGAACCTCTTAATCTCACCGCTCTCATCACATGACAAATCCCCGGCATGAAAAACATAAACTGAATCCTTATTCTCAATCCAGCTACAAGCTCGTTCTTTCACATTTCCACTACGTTTCATCTCTAATCGAAGAGATTCTGAATCTTCCCATCCTCCAGCCACAGCATAAGCATTGGATAATGCGATGTACGCACCTGTTACTTGCTGATTCGATTGTATTAATCGCTTGCTCGCTTCACTAACAATCTCAACTCTTCCATGTAACCTACCAGCTGAAAGAAGAGCTCCCCACAAGAGTGCGCCTTGGTCTGCTCCAACTTCTATTGTTTTTGCCAAATCATAAGCTTCATCAACACGACCAAATCTTCCAAGCATATCAACAACACATGTATAATGCCTCGAGTCAGGAATCACACCATACTTCCCAGCCATTGTATTCAAGAATTCTAGGCCTTCGTTAACCAGACCCGAATGGCTACAAGCGTGTAACACGCCAAGTAACGTTACATAGTTAGGCTTTATTCTCCCTGCAACCATTTCATAGAATAGTTGAAGCGCTGCTTCTCCAAGTCCATGCTTTGCCCTTGCCATGATCATAGATGTGTACGATATAACAGAACGACAACGAATTTTCAAGAAGATTTTTTCCGCACAGCTTAGAGACCCGCATTTCGCGTACATATCTAGAAGCGAGGTAGCAACCACAGTGTTCGATTCATAACCACCTCGAGTAACTAACCCGTGAGCAACTTTCCCCCATTGTAGCCTACCTAAACTAGAGCAAGCGCTAATTACACTAGCCAGCATAAACTGATTCGGCCTATCCGATGTCGGAGCAGCATTGAATGATCTAAACAACTCAATAGCTTCATGGCCACGAGCGTTCTGCGCATAAGCAGTGATCATCGAGGTCCAAGAAACAACATTTCTGCCATAATCAATCATCGAGTCGAAAACCTGTCTAGCCATTTCCACATCATTGCATTTCCCATACATGTCAACAAGAGAGGAACTCACCACAATATTCCTTCTGAGCCCGGATATCTCAAGACGGGCATGTATGTTTTTCCCGATTCTTGATTCAGCCAAAGCAGAACAGGCTTTAAAGACACTAGCAAACGTGTACTCATTGGGAGGCACAGATCTATCTTCATGCATCTCCTGAAACATAGAAAGAGCAGTTTGAGGTTGACCCATGTCGTTATACCCAGAAATAACCGACGTCCACGAAACCACATTCGGTTCACACATTTCATCAAACACCTTGCGTGCGGTGTTGATTTCTCTGAGCTTGACATAACTATTTAGGAGGTGATTCACTGTAAAACTGTCACTTGCGAACCCAAGTTTCAGAGTCAGAGTATGTAATAAATTCGTGAGAAATAGGTCTGTAGATTCTGAAAGCTTCCGTATCAAGAAAGCTTTGGTTTTGAGAAAAAAGTATTCGTTTTGGTGGTGAGGGACAAACAGAGAAGTAGCAGGGGTAAAACGGTCTTTTGGGAGGAACCGTTTATTCATTGGCTTAATTGGTGTAAGCTCTCACATCCACTCATGTGCCTTGTTATTATGAGAATGAATTAAGAATTAAGAATTAAGGGTAATATGAAAGAATGACCATGGAGGATTGAAAAATCAAGTATTTAATCATAGGGTCTGATGTAACCAAAAGCTATACAAGTTTTTTAGTTGTTAGCTGGAGATGTAAGATTTACCGAAATAGTGCAAAACTATAAGAAAGAGCTGTACAAAAAAGTTGAGAGTAAATCTGTTAGTAACGCTTTTGATAAAGCTTTTGTGATTGGTAACTGTCAAAGCTGTACACACTGTGTCGCTTTGATAATGGGTTACCATTCAAAGCCATAGTCTTTTTAAAATTAACTCTTTTTCTTAACTCTTATAAATTGGACAAAAATGTCTTTACGTGGGTAACAATTATAAGACATTTTTGAAATAGATATAGACAAATCATAGAATGTTTTCTACAAATTCAAATTAAATGGACAAATTCAAAATAATGTAAAAATTAAGGATAAAGAAAATCTCAATATTTAAAAATATTAACCTTAATTTTAATAAAATTCTTTTTGTTAATACATTAAAAAAGTAATAACGGGAAATAAAAATTTACTAATTTATTATATAAAACAGAAAAGTTCTTAAGCGTTTCGTAAAAAGAAAATATAAAAGTAAGTATTAATTTTTTTATATATATATTCAACTTTTTATTAATATATTAATCTAATTTGGTTGAATTTTTTTTGTTAATATATTCAAACAGTGTTAATATATTAAACTATTAACCTCATTCTATTAATTTTGTTGTTCTTAATATATTAACAAAAAAAGTAAAAATTCTTTATCTTATCGAAAAAAGAAAATACAAAATTTGTTAATGTTATTGTATAAAGTCTTAACTTTCTCACCAAAGCGTGACATGTGGCCAATTATTAATCTAATTCTGTTAATTTTTTCCGTTGTTAATATATTCAAAACAAGTTAAAGTATTTTATCTTATCAGAAAAATTAATTATAAAATTTGTTAATGTTTATATAGAGTTTTAACATTCTCAGCCGATCGTTTTTAATTCACGAAATGACGACACGTTTCAACTAATTGATTATAATTTAATATGTGGTTTAATATTTTTCAATTTTGTAACTTAAATATTTCTATCCTTTTGTTTTCTTAAAAAAGGAAAAAAATATTAGTAAAACACATCAATATACGTGTCTATATTAGAAAGAAAACAAAAAGAGGCATTATTAGCTTAGACTAATGATAACTAAAGTTCAATATAGTTCATAATATAATTATTTTTAAAATTGAGACCCTTCCAATATGTTATTTTGTATAGTTTTCTGTTTGTTTTTTTTTTGTTGTTATTTTTAAGTTAAGAGTAAAATATAGTTGTCAACAAAATACATAAAATGTCAAAATTCATAATTGTTGTTATCAATAATAAATCTAAACAACTTATAAAACTAATTCAAGTAAGTTAGTAAAACCGATATGTTTCGATAAAAAAAATATTTACTAAGAAAAAAAAATCTTCTCGTATGTTCTCTTCTCCCACGAAAAAAGTATATTCACCTAATTTTAATTAAACTAAAAATTGAATTACAATAAATATATTATTATTGTTTTGGATAAAATTTTAATTTAACATTTCATTTTTAATTTTCATACTTTTATATTATTTGGTGCTCAGTGAAATTTTACACACGTTTCTATATTGAGTGTAACCTAATCTAATCTATTATCTTAATTAGTTGAGTGTTAAATTAATTATAAGCTAAATTTATTGGGTTTACCCATGAATCTATCAAATTTTAATAGATCGGATCAACATGTAAATTTATTTAGTTTTATAGCTAAAATGACTAAATATGTCGACTCATCACTATGAAAAATACTGTAGTTGCATTTTAGTTTTTTATTTTAGCATTAGGTTTTAAGTAATTATAGAATTTTAAGATCGCTTTAAAAAATGACGCTAAAAACATTTTGCAAAGCTTTCCTCGCAACACTATAATTCATTATTTTTTCATCGTTTGTGTTCTTTCGCGTCGTTTATATAGACGTTTTTAAAAATGACTTTACTACCGTTTAAAGAAACGATACCAAATTTGTATTTATCATAATATTTTGGATACTATTTTCCTATAATAGTTTTTTAATTTAATTTTTTGTTTTGAAAATAAATAACCCGTCTATCGGATAGATCCTAATCTAGTTATAATATAAATTTTGGTTTTCAAATTTAGTAATTCGCATGGTCATGATACATGTAAGATCTATCGATCAGATTTGACATATGTAATAAGACAAATTATATAATATAATTACAAATCTTAAAAAGAAAATAATATAATAAAATTAAAAATCCTAAAAGTAAAAAGTATTACAAATTTTTTTAAAAGGTATATAAGAATATATAAATGATAAGGATATTATACAATAAATTTAAAAAATCATAAAACTAAAAGGGTTACACTTTTAAAAAAAGATTCTTTATCAAATAATTATAATAAGTTTTGCTCGAATTAATTTTTCTTTTATCAAATAATTAGAATAAGTTTTGCTCGAATTAATTTTTTCTTTTGTAAACATTTTGCTTAAATTGTTTTGTTCCTTTTTTTTAAATTATGTATTAGATCTGGTTCTCTTCTTTTATGCCACTAATGAGCGAGATTATTGCTTCTCTTTAACAAAACACCATTTAACAATGACATTTTCATGGTTGGGTTTCAATTCGTTTTTGTAAGTGACTTGGCCAAACGAACGGTGAATGCATGTTCTCTAGCATAGATGTTCCCATGGATTAAAAAAGAATAGTTTAGTTATATATAAGCGGAAAACATAAACTGTATCTTCTTGTTTAATTTTTTTGTAATCTTTGATTGGCACTAGACATGAAAGGTAGACATAAATAATAATATCTTTAAGAGTTCTAATCAAGTTAAAAGATTCAGATGAACAAGTAGCACAAATATATATATATATATATATATATATATATATATATATATATATATATTCTACATTTACATAAGTCTTAATAAAATGAAGTGAAATCATCATACGGATATCCTTCTACCTCTTTTTGTTCTGTGGATACCCATTTTTTTTTTCATAAAAGACTTGTAAACAATGAATGTCTCCCTCGTCTACGTTCTCTATGAATCCACTCAAACCCTTCTACTCCTCTTTCTCTTCCCCAACTATTTTGTATTATCCAATAATAGTTTCCGAAGTTATTCACATCGAAGCCGACAATAAGAACTGCATGAAATTACAGATTTCCAAGTTCTAAAGACTCCGGATGGTATATTTCATGTGTTGACAAACAATGTGCTATTATTAGTAATAAAATAGTTACTATATATTATCCCATATACTCAAATCGCCCCACAACGGCAAAACTCCAACAACTGGGTACCTCATCACTAACCTTGCAAGATCCACATCGTCTACTCTGTTGATGATTTCGACACCGTCAATTTTCAAAGATTCATCACTTATTCAGTTACAATTATTTCTTTCTCAATTGTACAGAACTCGAACTATACTTGAAAATAATTATTAATGTGCATTTCAAGTAATTTAGTTATATTTTACAATCTTATCATCATAATTTCATCATTGGACAAATCCAAATTCTCAATCCCAAAAGAACATGGGAAAAATAAAGAAATAAAGAATATCTTGATTAAGGTAACTAAGATATAGGATATGATCATACGCTTGCTTACGATTTTCAAAAGTGACTCTATTACATATGAAACCGAGCTTCATAATCCTACATGGACTAGGATTAATAAGGTGAATTTTTACAAAATGAGAGAATGATTAAGGATCGAGAACAAAATCAAATGACTTAACAAGAAAACCTGAAATGAGAATCAACCAATTCTTGATAAGCTTCCATATCTCATAAATGGATACACAATATCATGATTTTATATATATATATATATATACATATATATATATATATATACATATATATATATATATATATATGTATATACTACAAATAAAGAGAATTTCATTATGTATATCATGTGTTTTCCGTAAACCTAATAAATATAATTCTTTTCACCCAAAATATATTTAGGAAGGGACTCTATATGTAACTTGTCACCTCACCCTTGAATCCACAAATAAAATTCGCAAAGTTCAACGTATATGATGAAAATAAAACAAAAAAATATCCCAACGAGAAAAAACTATATATGTTAATTATGTCAACGAAAATTTCAAAGATTGACCTCATTATGCAAAATTTTAGAAAGTGGCCTTATCACATAAGGAATAACATGTTTAGTTCGTAATCCCATTGAGATCATAGTTAGGACAAGATCCAAAGTCGTTATTCGTAAACAAGAACAATAGATTCGAAATGACTTTGAGATTAAAAGCGGCCAATTCAAGATAGCTTCTAAAGTTCTTAGATTGATTCACAATGTCTTGATTCTTATTATTTTACTACTACTATCTGATCAATAAAGTAATTATTTGATATTTTTTGTTCTCTTTTATTTTACTAATCGAATACTTTTCATCCATACTAATGGTTTTTACATTTCTATTCAATCTACAATGTGATCATTCTGCTATATTTTTTTCGAAAACATGCAAGAATGCTCTCTTCAACCATCCAAATAATGCGCAATCTGATTCCAACAACTATGCTAGAAGGCTTCAATTTATAAGTCTATATCTAGAGAAAGTGCATTTCCCTCAAGGGAGGCATCTACTCATTCTTCTTAGATGCTAGCTCTGATGCTAATGGTCATATTTTAGTGGCCAACAAAGCAAATACAAAGAGGAGTAACACATGAAATCACCTACAACATTCTATTCACAAATTACGTAAGAAAAATAGTCATAAAAAAGACCAACAACATGTAAGTATAAATATATAATAGTTGATCAGGGCATGCCATGAAAACTAGTACAAACTTACTTCATCTTTAAATATTCAGAAGAGAGAGCTCTAGGCACATGAAGCCTGTTGATGGTGGGTTTTGGGCTCGGGCCCAAATCCCTTAGCAAGCCCACCACCTACCACGGCCCAACACCCTTAAGTATCCTAAAGCCCAGTAGACATCTGGTAAAAAGCCTAATAAAAGCCCGCCACGATTTCCACCGACCAAGGGGGGGTAAAACGGACATTTCACGCGTGCAAGACGCCCCACCTCTGAACCCTATAAATAGAAAAAGAGAATGATTGTGAAGGGAATCCCGAAATAACGGCTTCTACAGGGAATTTCGTACAACCGTCTGAGAACTTTGCGGCCCGGCTCGTATACTAAGTTTTCAGCTCGTCCATTTTTGTAATCGTCGGCTCGTCCTTTAAATAAGAGATTCTTCTTTCTACCCTTAAGATTTCGAATACGTACTTGTGTGATTTGAGGATCAACAAAGCCCATATATGGAGCTGAAGTCATCACCTGTATGAATTAAAGGTAAGTATAGATAACCTTTGTATAGCAACAGAACTCACAAGTTATCCTAGTTCCCCATAGAGATAGATAGCCACTTCAACTTAGAAAATGGTTACAAAATTAACATGAAGATGTTCAAAGCCATTTAAGTCTTGGATAAAAATCATACCTCATAAACATCATTCTTCTGTCGGCCTTAGCCTAAACATACGGACCAAAATCTCTTCAAAAAACTTTTGCACCTTTGTTTGATAAAGTTTTGGCTCTTGATTTGGTGAGGAAAAGTCTTTGGCCCAAAATGTGTTATAATACATATAACCCTTACACGGCATTACATTTGCACGGACATACTCCACAAACTCAAGTTTTGTATTCTGAAAAAACCAAAAAGATAAGTAAAACTAAGAAGAAAGCATCATTAAAAAAGCTGCGAATAGGGAAGACCAAGTTGTAACATTTTCTTCATTGTGCTCTTTAATGGCTGTGTCTATGAGTAATGTGAGAAACTCCTCATTGCTCCGTTTATTATGAAGATCTCTTTCCCACACGAATTTAATGGCACAGAACTTACAGCCAAAACTGTCCCAGTCCACATAAAACCTAAACGCACCTCGAATGGAGTTTCCATGCAACATAGGAGAAAACGTGAAGCTGTTAAAGTATTCACTTATTTTCTTATTGTTTAAGGAAATATATTACCATAAAAATCAGGTAAGGAAAGGATAAGCTATTTACATTTTCTCCCATATATAAAATACTTTATAAATTATTATTGATAAATAAAAAATAAGTTGTTTACATTTGGATATATTAGTATTGTTATACAAATGTCTTTTTTTATAGATACGCTTATTAAAGAGAAAACTAACTCAAGCTGATTTTATTAATTCGGACACCCTCTTGTTATGAAATAGGTACATTCTCATAATCTGTCCACACAAAAACTTAGATAGACTACGTACATAATGTCTTTAATTTCATATTATTCTTATAAAACATTAGTATAACTTGCAAGGCACATAAATATGCTAGGTATGCAACGTTATGGGTTTTCTTTTCGTTCATTTATAATCAAACCCATAACGCTCCAACGCGCTTAAGCATTGGGACGAGAGAACGATTGAGATGGAGGCTCATGACTTGATTGGCTCCACCTACGAGCTGCCCTCCTATGAACACCACTGGTACGGTCGGGCTGCAGCCGAGTTGAGCCAATGCTTGCTCTATCTCCTTTCCTCTGTTGATCTCGTCGAGCTCATAAATCGTTGGGTTCACACCAAAGTCGAGGAAGAGAGTCTTGATTGTGTGAGACATGCAGCACGAATTCTTGCTAAAGATCACCACAGGCTTCTCGGAGACCATCTTTTGTAGCTTCTCCATTGGTGGTAATATTGTGGGTTTTGAAAGATTTACCTAAGGATTTAATTTGTAAAATTTACAAGTTAAGGGAATGATAGATAATTTTAGAAATTGAAAGCTTCAGTAATATTGGGTACAAGATGAGAGAAGTGATTTTGAGTTCTTGTGTTTGATGTGTTAAAGGTCGACTCTAAGGGTTCATATATATAAGCTTCTTCACGAATGCATATAGGCAAAAGAAAGTGATAGATTTTAGATGCTATATTGTCCTATTCTCAGATTTAACATTTAAAAAAAACAAAAAATCCTCAGAATAACAAACAACAAGAAAATGTCGGATGCTCGGTTCTATTATCTAGCCAACTAAATTATCCCATATCATTTCAAATTATGATAAAGTTCTAAATTGATGTATGAAAATATAAAGAGCTATAAATTAACATATCTGGTTCTTAATTTATTTTTATATGTTATTTTAACCTTAAATCATTTTTCAAAAATATGCTTTCATCGAAGTCAAATATTTACATTTTTTATTTTATTTTTTTCGAGTCATACGATAAACATAATTATTCGAACTATTTGATGAAATGTTTTTATAAGTGATAAATACGAATGATGAAAAAAAATAAAAAAGAGTTACAAGTACGTAAGGGACAACACAGCGTTTAAGTCTTCTTTTTAGAAATGCGATAATAAAATCTTAGCTGTGAAGAATATATGATACGACGAATCATATGATGTCTCTATAGTACGGCCTTTCATTTTTATTGAGCTGTTAAAACTCAAAATATTACAAAAATCACATTACTTACATGCCTATTAATTTATACTATAATGTGTTATATATCACATTAAATAAATATCTCAATCCTCTATCTGTTATATTCTTAAGCTGCATAAAATTATAATTTGTTACATATTATTTATCAAAAATGATAAAATATTTCTTACAATATGTAATATAGAGTTTGATATAAAACAAAACTTATCTATTGATATAATTAATTATATGTTGTGACAAAAAGTGAAAAAAATCTTGTGTCTTGCGTTTACTTTTTTGTATCCTATACTAATATTTGGGAAGTACATCCTAAGAGTCATAACTTAGATTTTGTAAAAAATTACAATATATGCCATTATATTATTATAATCATAAAATTTATTCCATGTCACTAATATATATAAACAGGTCAACGGGTCAACGGGTTAAAGATATTAAAAGATTTTGTTTATATAATACATAATTAATATATTTTGAGACTGTTATATACTAATCAATTCGAAAATGTAACACAATTAGTAAAAATGTTATATACTAATATACTAATATATTATTCGAAAATGTTATTGAAAATGTCATTCAAAATGTTATATAGTAATCCATTATTCGAACATGTTATCAAAAAATGTTAATGAAAATAATATATCATTGAAAACATTTTATATCCATCCAATTTATAAAAACTATTATTTTGAATCTACATATACTTTTTTAGAGGGGATTTTGGTTTTTAATTCATTTGTGTCGGCTTTTGACTCAGTTTAATTCTGTTCGGATCCTGGATAAGATAATTAAAGAAAGTTTTTAAAGAAAAACGACATTAATTAGTAATAAATTCGTTTTTCATATTTAATATCACAAAAATCTTTTTTGGTAATATTTTCTGATTTAGGCAACAGAATATGATGAATTTATGACAATAAAACTATAAAATCTATATTATTCTAAAAGCGAATCCCTAAAATAACGTTAATAGGTAACTAATTGCACCAACTAATCTAAATAAATAGCATATTACTAAGTCGCAATTGTGTCATCAATCATTTCCAATAATAGTTGGTATAAAATTTAGAGAATATATATCCCAATTTCTTATTCGCGAATTAGCATTAATTATTTGAATTAAAGATTACAAGTTTAACAAACTTGCCAAAATCTCAACATATTATCTTTAACGACACAATTAGGGTTAGTTAATATTTAAATCCCCAACAAATTATAGAAATATATTAAATACTCAAATAAACGCATAATCTTAGCATATTCCAATTAACAATATAAAAGATTTACTCCCTAATATCTTGCGGCAGTTATTATTTTTTTCCGGAAGATTTCTATGAATTAGCGCAACCTAATTAGTTTTCCTATAAATACTAAACACCTAAACTCCATTTACCAATAGCCAAACACAAAACTTGGATGATTTCTCTTTCTTTGTTCTTTCTTTATTGTTTCTTTCTCTAGCTAAAATTTTTATTGTTTTTTTTTTCTTCTTTTCAATTCTCTACAACTAGAAAATTCTAGATTTCTTCACAATATGTATCACTAATATATATTTCGTATTGTTTTTTGCAGTTCAATTGTAACCGGCCATTCATGGCAACTAAGAGTGGGATCAGTGCATCGAAAAGTATGTATTTTTCGTTTTTGATTATGGTCAAACTGGGTTTTAAATTCATCATATGTAAATAATCTCATAACTAAGTTTTACTATTTTTTGCTAATCTCTATCTTTTTTTAATTGTGCTACAGATTTCTTAACGAGCTAAACTAAAAAAGACTATCATCTTCGTCATGAACATCGAGGTGATGCGTTAGAGCGAGCGAGTTAAGCATCTGAAGTTTGATAGAAAAAAATTCATTTTTATTGTTAAAGTTGTCATTAATTTTTCTGTTGTTTTTAGAACATAATTTTAGAAGAATTTAGATTTCTAAGAATAAAGGTAAAAATTTATATTTTATAAAATCAAAGGTTTGTGGTTTTTCATTAGATATGTTTTTTTTTAAAGTCCAATTTATTTATTTTTAAACATTGACATGATTTTTTTCCCAATTTTTTTTTGGGAGGTGCGAAGAATAATGAATTTTGTTATTTTTAAAAAATCTTATAAACGATTTTAATAATTACGATTTTTATAAGGTTGAAGTTTTGTTATTATTTGCATCATATATGTTTTTTTTATTTTCATGTTTAATGTTTTCTATGTATGATTTTCTTTCTGATTTTGATTTTAACAAATATAATATCTAAGATCTTTGATAAATTTTATTTAATTTCTTGCAGGAGAAGAAAAATATGTAGAATCTTCCTCTTTTGATTTGTTCTCATCTTCCAAGTTTTTAAAAACATTAGAGTAACTGAAGTCAAGAATGGATAGAAAAAAAGACAGATAATAAATAAAAGAACATTGTATTTTTTTATTATACGATATGTATTTTTACTTCTAAGAATTTAACCTCAATATATGATACGTGTTAGGTTGACTAAAAATGATGTGCCATGTTAAATATATAGATTTATGAAGTTACATACAAATTATTCGAATATTGACTAAATCAAATTTAATCCTATGATTAATATTTATCAACGATGTTAACAACTTTGCGATAATAAAACTAAATTTGTGTAAATACCGATTTAGTATTTTAATATATGCACAATATTAAATTAAATATAACAATACTATATGTTAAAAAAGTATTAATCTACGGGTCTAAACCTTGACTGAATATGATCACATCAAATAAAATTATAAATATCTTTATATCTATATATACATTTTTGGAACACTTTTAGCAAATAAATCCTGGGGTTGGACAATATTTACAAAGAATGCCATTGGCATTTATTATTACTTTTACAAAATTTAAATAAAAGATATTAACCAAACAATATCTTGCCTAATTTGTTTCTAAAAATCTCTACACAATCATTCCATATATCTTCAAAAAACTTTATAGCAAATATTTATATTAACATTTTGCATAGCAATAAAAATACTAATTTATAATAATCAAAATATTCACATAGAAAAATCAAATACACATACAGGAAAAAGAACTATATCTATCATCATTTAAGCCGTTGCTTTATTTAAATTAAAAAAAAAAACACAAAAACTTGAAATCATATACTTTATATGATAAATTTAAAATATATATTAGTAGTATAAATTTAAAATCGTTCAAAGAACGGTATACTACGGGTGAGATCCTGAAATTATTAGATTTTATAACAATAATAATTTATTTTCTTGGATTTTATAATACTAATAATTTAGCTAACGAGATAATATAGACGGGTTTATATGGGATGACGGGTTTGGGTCGATATTAATAAATAACGGTATATCACGGATGAAATCCTAAAATTAACAATCAAAATACAATTATACAATCTTAAACACAAAACAAAAGAAACAATATTAACAAAACAAATCCAACTTAAATTTAAAATTTTTAGTTATAAAAAAACCGACCCACGGTATACTGTAGAGTAAAATATTCAAAATTTTAAAATCCACCATACATCGTTACTTAAAAAAAATGTATGTTTTCGTATCTATACTTCAAAAATTGATAGATAGATATCTACATTTAAAAATACAAATTAATATGATATATCTTCAGTTAATCTTTTAAAAAATAACATTACATTTTTTAAAAAAATATAGCCCCGCGGTATACCGCGGGTTAAATTCTAGTGTCCTAATATTATTTTACTGTTGTGATTATTTTTGTACCCAAAATATGGATAACAACATATAAGATCATCTCCAACGCTCGGATACCTTTCTAGTTTCTCATTTATAATATTTTAATTATTTTGATTATTTATTTATATTTGAAATTAAAATTAATAATATTGGCCAATCAAAATAAAGTCACATATGAAATGGGTTTCTCGTAGTTTCTCCGTAAAGACACGTATCTCATTCTCTTTCCTGCTTTTTCATTATTTTCTATTATTTAAATCATAAAAAAATTTGATGAGACACTACCCAGATGTGGATGCTCTAAGATATCTAGTATGCGTTCAATCAAAACTTTTACCATCCATTTAAAAAGTATCGATTGAAAATTCATTGTAAAATCAGTTGATAGCTGGTCTCACCCTTTGACATAGTTTTAGATATGCCATACAAAGTTTCCAGCTCCTTTGCTTCTTTAATATTTGCGAAAACTCGAGATCGCAAGATATCATCTCAAGAATTTTAATATTCTTCTATGACCACTTGAGAGAAAAAGGCAATCTATGTGGTTCTGTTTTAGCCTTATCGTCATGCATGAAATCGAATCTTACGATGTCAAGAATCAAGAATCAAAGAGAGCTTTATCCTCTATTCCACGAAATTCTGAAATCTCAAACTTGTGGCCAAGAAGATTGATTAGTGAAGCAGCCACGTGGTGTCCCAAAAAAAGAATTAAAATTTAAAAGCCATAGTTTTGCATTTTCTTACTAAAAGATTATTGGTGGCCCAATTTTGATGTCAAGCGTCGTTATTCTTATATCACAATACAAGGTTATCATCATTTTAACTTTACGTGATTCACGTACCGACACATTATATGTATGTAAGAATAAGATGCCCAATCACATCTAGTTCCGCAACTGGCCCGTACTGTCCTATAAATGGAATATATGTAACAATGCAAAGATTTTCCTTATATGGCAAAATTCAATTCTTTGTTATTTTAATGGTTAGAAACGTCATTTTCTATCATGATGTTCAACAATGTTTCTGTATATAGATATATAGTGAAGAATTTGATGATTGATTTACCTCAATTATTCTGAATTTCTTGATTTTATGATAGAGTTGTTATAAGATCCTTTACGCAATTTACAGTATATTTTACACTTGTAACTAGCTAATTCAATTGACAACCATGTCTAACATATTAGTAACAATTAAGATTTTCTTAGTAACAATCGCATATCATTGTAAGAATTTCATTTAAAAAGTTATGCGCATATATAGAAGTCGATCATATGAAATTACTAGATTGAAGCACTTCGAATAGTAACTAAGTTAAGGCTTGACACTCCACACAATTCAGACTCGTCATCGTTTTTAAATATATGCCATATACAATATTTTTAGCCTATAAAATATTTCATCTTCAATTTTTAAATTAATTATTATGTCTTGGAACATGTTCTGCATAAATAGTTATATATTCTATTTTTTCCTTTACACCATAAAAAAATCACCTATTTTCAGTGCATATATGTATACAAAGTTATATGAATATAAACATGGGAAAAAGGAGAAATCCATTTTATTATAAAATATAAATATTTCTTAGATGCATGTTTACAAAATAGGTAACCGCATAATCTATCTTTTGAAAACTTAGATAGATCACATAGTAATAAACTCATACATACATTCTTGTGTATGTTTTTTTTTTTTTACTTTTCTTGTTCACTTTTATAATAAGTTTCTCAATACATAATTAATTTGCGATCCCATTTATTTTGAAGTCAAAGCCATAATGCTCCAGCGCGCTTAAGCATTGGAACAAGAGAACGATTGAGATGGAGACTCATGACTTGATTGGCTCCACCAACAAGCTGCCCTCCTATGAACACCACTGGCACGGTCGGGCTGCACCCGAGCTGAGCCAATGCATGCTCTATCTCCTTTCCTCTGTTAATCTCATCGAGTTCATAGATCGTCGGGTTCACGCCAAAATCTAAGAAGAGAGTCTTGATTGTGTGAGACATGCAGCAAGAGTTCTTGCTAAAGATCACTACCGACTTCTCCGAGATCATCTTTTGTAGATTCTCCATTAGTGTTATAACGTGATAGGATATTTGAAAACCGTATTACAAAGGAGAAAAATAGGTGTGTTTGGTCAAGATGCTAGATTAGAGATGAAAATGGGAAAACTAGATAACTTATAAAGTGATTTATATCTTTGGGTGAAGATGAGAAGTGACTATGTGTTTCTGTGTTTGATGAAGTGAAGTGTGTAAGGTCCTTTATATATATATAGCTTTCTAAAGTACCTAACCTTTCTTATTACTTAGCCTTTTTCTATGAGAATCAACTTTAGCACAAAATAAAATATCTCAAATAATTATAGAAATAAAGAAACACATTTTAAAATAATGAAAATTAAGATTTAAAAAAAAAAAAAAAAAAAAAAAAAAAAGATAGTCGAAGTATTCCGAAAGAATCTGAGGATATGATCGGTTCACACGTCTTGACTCTTTGAGTCTCTTTCCCTCTTGCAGCTAAAGAATAAAACTAAACTATCAACTAATTAGGTAAAACGTACAGAACCCAAAATCTCTCTTAGATATGAGGAATAATTGATACGGACGAATCATGTCATGTTTCATTAGTACGGCCATATATCTTCATTGTCAAACAACTGATAAAAAGCCGAAATGATTTTTATCTTGGCTAACTCATTTGACTTTTAAATTTTCAAATTTCCGAAATAGGTTTTTAAGTATCAAATAAAGTTGAAAATTGCTAATAGTGTTTACTTCGGATTTCATTTTGGCGTGTGATTATAATTTTGGTTTTGAGGATGTTACATTCAATCTAATTAGTGGTCAGGAATGCGTCAAAAATATCTAACAAATTACCGACATATAATATGTCTTGATGAAAGATTTCCTATTATCGTGAAGTCATCGTTAAATGAAATTATTGTTGGAATATTTGTGTTTGATGAAATGACAGATACGGCCATCAGTAATCTTTTGTTTTCGTGTAGTATACTAATTTTCTCCCTTTTATATTCTTAATTTAGCTACCCAAAAAATTATTTATTACAATATATTTTCAAAATTAATTTAAATATTTCGTACACTATTTTTGAGTCTAATAAATTATTTAATAATATAGCAATTATTTTTGTATCGGTAATGTGTATTAAAAAAATCTACGATAATATGCTTCCAATCATAATTTATAATATCTAATAATCGTAATTTTGAAAATCAGGTAAAATCGTTGGATAGCTGGTCATACAAAGTTGCAAGCTCCTTAGCTTCTTCAATATTTGCGAAAACTCGAGATAGCATGATATTATCTCAAGAATTGTTTTGTTATGACCACTTGAGAGAAAAAGGCAAACTGCTTTGTGGTTCCGTTTTAGCCTTAATGCCTTATCCTCATGCATGAAATCGAATCTTGCGATGTCAAATAATAAAACAAAATTGAGCTTTATTCCCAATTCGATGAATAAGATTGTTAGAAAGTCAAGGTCGTGCCCAACAAGATGGATTTGATAGTGAAGCAACCACGTATATATATATATATATATCCTAAAAACAAAAATAAACAAAGATGTGAAATATTAGTTTTTTGTTTTTCTCTTCAGAATAGTATTGATAGTGGCCCATTTCGATCTCAAGAGTCACTTATTGTTACATCGCAATACAAGGTTATCATCATTTTCAGTGTACGTGATTCATATATGTACCGACACATATTATGTAATAAGCCAAATCACATCTTATTCCGCAACTTGCCCGTACCGTCCTAGAGCATGGAATATATGTAACAATGCAACGCTGTTCCTTTTATGGTAGAATCCAATTCTTTACACACTTTGTTGTTTTGATGGTTAGTAACGTCATTTTCTACCACGATGTTGAACAATCACGCCCACAACTTTCTTAGATGGATAGAGAAGAATTTAATATCTAATTTACCTCTATTCAAATTTTCTTGTAACTAAAGATAGATCTGCTTCATTTATATCAGTATATCACTAATTTACGCAAGCTGCAGCAAAAGTTTTACTAGGTAAAATAACATCAACTCCTAACATTTAGTGACAATACAATTAAGTTTTTTTTTTAAACCGGTATATAAAAAGTTATAGACAATTATAAATCTATATATAGGTCCATTATGTGAAATTACTATTATGAACCAATTCCCATGATTAAGGCTTAACATTCCATACCTATTAAAACAATAAACCCATATAAAATAAAGTAGTTATTTCTGTCTTTTTAGCTAAACTGAAATACATATGTTGGAAATGCTTATTAGATGTTATTTTCTATAATTGATATAATATTTTCAACTGACCATCAATTAACAGGTTACAAATCTGGTTATTCGAAATAATTTTTAGTACGATGTTTCTGAAATCGATATCTATATTTGTATGAAGGAACCGATTAAACACTCGCTATAAGAACGGTGTAATTTTTATAACAAGATTAATAGTGAAAACATGCAAGAAGAATAAACAATGATAAGATCTGTTCTATCTCTTTACACCATTTAAAAAAATATATTTGCAAATGAATACATTTTCAATAACGTCGACGCATGTTCTTAGATCTATGCATGCATGTATATATTAAAATATTTTAACAAAAGTTGTATATATTGAAATATATAAATAGAGGGAACATTGGAAAGGAGAAATCCAAGAGTAGCTGGTTTTATTATAATGGACCCATTGTTTACAAAATAGGTGACCGCATAATCTATCTTGTCAAAACTTAGATAGACATATCATTAACTCATACATACATTCTTGTGTATGCTTTTTGTTCACTTTAATTAGTTTCTTCAGTACATTATAAATTTGTGATTCCATTTATTTTGATGTTAAAGCCATAATGCTCCAGCACGTTTAAGCATTGGAACTAGAGAGCGATTGAGATGGAGACTCATGACTTGATTGGCTCCACCAACAAGCTGCCCTCCAATGAACACCACCGGCACGGTCGGGCTGCACCCGAGCTGAGCCAATGCTTGCTCTATCTCCCTTCCTCTGTTGATCTCGTCGAGCTCATAGATCGTAGGGTTCACACCAAAGTCTAAGAAGAGAGTCTTGATTGTGTGAGACATGCAGCACGAGTTCTTGCTAAAAATTACTACTGACTTCTCGGAGATCATCTTTTGTAGGTTCTCCATTATTGTTGTAATTTTGAAGAGTGTTTGGTAAGCGATTTGCAGAGGACAAATGGGTGTCTTTTGACTGAAATAAGAGATTAAGGGTGAAAATTGAAAAGTTAGACAACTTGTAGAGAGAGCTTGAAGTCTTTGGGTGAAGATAAGAGATGACTTTGAGTTTGTGTTTGATGTAGTGAAGGGTCTCCAAGGGTCCTTTATATAGCTTTTCTAAGGGACGTAACTTTCATATTACGTGTTTAAATTTAATGTAACCTTTTTTAAAAGAGAATCAACTTTAGCACATAATAAATATCTCAAATAAATAAATAAATAAAAACACAAAAAATGAAAATTTAGATAGTGGGAATATCTCAAAGAACTAGAGCCTAATAAGGAGGAGGGTTCATCCTTCTCGCCTCTTTGCATCTTACAGCTAAAGAATAAAAAAAATGTAACTATCAATTAATTGGGTAAACATACGGATAACTAAATCTTAGATGAGCATACTATAAGCGTGCTGGAACATTATGGCTTTAACTTCAAGCAATGAAATATTTACATTTTTCAATGATTATGAATCATCCAAATTTGTGGTAACTTGAGCCTATGCTTAGTTATTTCAAAATTACTTTCTTAACTTTTGCGAAATATTCGAGTCAATGCCTTTGCTCTTTTTACCATTTTTTTAGTTGTAGTAAAACTTTTTCTAAGCAAAAACAAGATCTATTATGTAATTCTTATAAAATTCCTGCCTTTGCATGTCCTTCACATGATTAAAAGCTGCATCTCCTTCCTTTGCGAAGACTCGAGATCGCATGGAATATCTCTAGAATTTTCCTCTTTATGTGCATGGTGTTTTACGTGGCCTTTTCACTTTCAAGCAAACCGTTTTTTTTTAATATCCTCATGAAATTTCATCATAAATCGATTTGGGAATAAAGCTAAATTTTGTATGATTCTTGACATCGCAAAGATTCGATCTCATTCCAAGAGGATAAGGCCCAGTGGAACAAAACAATAATCCTTTTTTTTTTTTTAAACTCCATTTCTCATTGGAAGGTGTCCCAACAGTGATCCGGAGAGTCGTTTTTCAAGTAGCTGTAAATCCGTACATATCTTATGTCAAATGTAGAAGTAGAACATCATATCTACGAGTGTAATGTGTTGGAGTAGCTAGCAGTGAAAGTTTTGACAAAAAATTGATTCAGAGAACCATTAGAATTATAACTTTTAACAAATGTTCTTGAGCAGAATGAAAGAACGATACCTACATATCTCCTTCGTTTCTGGCTTCATTCATACATGATCCGTACATGGCTTATGTTATACGCAATTTATCGGGAGCCAGTGTTTGAATTTGGATCTCAAATTCGACCTCATAAAACAAATTAAGCAAGAAATAAAATGACTCGTACAATTTATAGTTGTTCACTCTCAACGTGAGACTTAGATCAACATCATGCATGGGCACTACAGAATTTTCCTGGACACAAAAAATTCAAGAGGTACAGTTTTTTCAATATCTTTTAAGCAATATGAAATGGTGACAATGATTTAAATAGGAAATATAAGCCGTAAGAGAAACAAACAAACACGCCCAAACGGCCGTGGTGGTTGAGAATTGGAGAAAGCTTGGAAGGAACTAAGTCATGCTCGATCCACCCTGAAAACAAAAAAAAAAACGCATCCGTGTGGAAAGTCTGGGCTCCCAAGCCGTTTACCTGGTAGTCCAGTAACATGCGATTTGGCTACCTTGGCATTAGTCGGAAAGCATTCTAAATTTGGGACAGACAGTGTGGTGACCCTTCGAGGAAAAGTCCATTCTAAAGCACAAAAAAAAAAAAAAAGAGAAACAAACATAGGTTTACAATACTGGAAATACTCTTGATGAAATTTCTTAACTAAAATATTTTTGCAAGGACCCCTCCAACACATGGGAATGGGGTTTATCACCCCCTTCAAACCCATGTCGACTTGAACTTATCAGTTTGTTATTCGAACGTTGGGTCAGGCAGCAATTGAAAAATTAGGTTCCACAAGTACTCAACATCTAGTACTACATAAGAAATATTGCCTTTGAAAATAGTACCAAAATCGGTGAATACCATTGTTTCAAAAATATTTTAGAAAGCTCCATAAAACTTATATTTACTCGCTCTCTTACTGTCCATTTTGTTTACAGGGTTTTGAAAGAGTATAGAGCTTACTATTCTAAAACCGCATCTGCATAACTCTTCTCGAACAAAAAAAATATTTAATTACTTTCAAGGAAGATTCAGATTCATCCAAAATCAAGACAACAGATTAGAGAGGTGAATTAATATACTTATTCATAAAACATAGAAAGTACTTATAGATGTATATATAATATTCCTTACGTCAATTATTTGTCTTCGTATATAACTTAATTACGAAATAATGTATCATCTTATTTTAAAATTCTTATATTTATATGGGAGGGCATAAATATACAATGCTGTGACATCAGTACATTCCGTATTACCGTACATACAATGCTTTAATTTATAATCCATGCATGCACATATATGTATAAAAAAGATTAAAATGGGAACTGGGAAATCCATACTAGGTAATTTTATTATAAAGTTTACCCACACGTTACAAAATAGGTATTCTCATAGTCTATCCATTCAAAACTTAGATAGACAAAACATTCATACATACATGATACATGTATATGTGTTTTTGTTTGTCATCTTTGATTACTTCCATTACATTATTATTATCATGCTACGTTCTTTACGTAAGCATTCATTTACTTTGAAATCAAACCCATAGTGCTCCAACGCTCTTAAGCATTGGAACGAGAGAGCGATTGAGATGGAGACTCATGACTTGATTGGCTCCACCAACAAGCTGCCCTCCTATGAACACCACTGGCACGGTTGGGCTGCAGCCAAGCTGAGCCAATGCTTGCTCTATCTCCTTTCCTCTGTTTATCTCATCTAGCTCATAGATCGTTGGGTTCACACCAAAGTCTATGAAGAGAGTCTTGATTGTGTGAGACATGCAACAGGAGTTTTTGCTAAAGATCACTACCGACTTCTCGGAGATCATCTTCTGTAGCTTATCCATTAGTGTTATAATTTGAAAGTGTGTTAGAAAAGCGCGAAGATGAAAATAAGTATCTTTTGATTGAAATGAGAGAAGAGGAGTGAAATTGGTAAGCTAGAGAACTTGAAAATTTGGCTGAAGATATATAAGAGATGACTTTGAGTTTGTTTTTGATGTAGTGAAGGGTCTCTAAGGGTCCTTTATATATAGCTTTCTATGGTACGTAAAGATAACACGAAAATAAAGAACCTATTTTTTAAATATAAAATTTAAGATAGTGGGATTATATTTTGAGGCTATAATCGCCTCACACGTTCTTGACTCTTTACCACTTGCAGCCAAAGAATAAAAACATCAACTAATTCGGTAAAACGTACAGAAACAAAATCTCTTAGATGTGAGGAATATCTGATACGTACGAATCATGTCATGTGTTTATACTAGCTTTATAGTACTATCCCTTCTATTTCAGTTTCACTATCAAAAGAGATATATTTTAAATACAAATACATATATGTTCTCAAGTTCTCAACATAGTTACATATAACTATAATGATGTTTTACGTGTCAATTTTATTTTTGCTATATGTAAATTTACCAACATTCATCGGGTTGTAATTTTCGTTATAATTATCATTTTTTTCTTTAATGAAACTTATACATATTACACACGAGAAAAGCTGCATCTCCTTTCTTTGCGAAGACTCGATATCGTATGGTATATCTCCAGAATAATCGTATTCGTCTTCTTTTTTCGGTTTTTTGATTGTGTGGTGGTTTACGTGGTCTCTTCACTTACAATTAAAAACCTTCCTAAAGTTAAAAAACCTAACAATTTCACCAAATTTTCATCATAAATCATTTTGGGAATAAAGTTAAATTGTGTCTGATTGTTGACATCTCAAAGATTCGATCTCATTCCACAAGGATAAGGCTCATTGGAACAAAACAATAGTTTCTTTTATAAAACTCGATTTTCCGATGGAATGTGGCCCAACTGTGATCCGGAGAGTCGTTTATTCATATACTACAAATTACAAAGTGATCGTAGTCCGTACATGTCTTACGTAAAAATCACATGTTATCGAATCACATCGCATCTAATTCCACAACTATGTCATACCATCCTGTAACTTTTATATATACGCCCATCAATTTCGAGTAAATCTCACTTTTCTCCTAAAAATTTGTTAGTTAGTATGGCAAAAATAAAAAATAAGATTTATTTCATTCGTAATAACTGTTTTCTCTAACTTAGTTTAGTTCATACTCTATTTACTCTTGCCTTTTATTTTATTTTTAACCAATCAAAATTCTCTCTACAAAAATTTGATTTTTGTTCCTTCCAAGTAAGTGAGCTTAATTTTTCTCCAATTTATATTAAATTTATGAATTTCACTGAGGTTATATGTATATAAGTGTAGAATATTAATGATGTCTCACATCAAAATATCTGAGATTAATTTTATAAGTATCACCTAAACTCCAATGTATTAGTATAAGGATTTATGGGATAAACACAATAACATACTAATTAATTATGGAGTTAACATGGACTTTCAGATCCTTCTAATTAGGAACAAAGCCAATGGATATAGAGAGATGGATTTATGTACGTCTTGCATTTTGTTGTGTGAGCTGCCCTCAATGTGACATCGTAATTAATAGTGCTAGTGCCTTGTGTCGAAATCTTCTTCACTTTTTCAAGGTTAAGTGGCGAGTTTCGTTGATGACCACGATGGTATAAGATGGAATGCCAAGATGGTTTCGCTGGACGAACAGCCAAGGGTATGTGGTCCTTAATTGGTTTGAAGGAAAGACTGTTGGAATATCAATCTAAATCTCACATCAGCATATTAGATTCCTTAGGATATAATTATTTTAAATTTATAAAAAAAATATATATAAGAAGAAATGGTTTGGAACATGTTATGCATTAAGCGTATTGGGGCTTAAAGTTGGTAATCAGTACCTATTTGTACAATTTCTATATCCGCACATACGATGTTTTTTAAATGCATGCATGAATCTATGTCGTCCTTAAAGCATCAAAAATACTTCATAATAGCCGATTTGGCGCCATGAAAATTCCTAAACCAAACACAACTAGTAGTTCTAACACAATTTCTGCTTAGAGACGCCAAAATCTAAATCGTAACATCCGTATTCCGATTAAGAGTTCGAGTTTCTTTCATCAAATGTGACATCTTTTGAAACTCTCACTTTCTTTTCCTTCATTTTTATCCATATATATGTATATGTGTGTAAATTTCCGATACCCTCGGCAAACATTTTTCTTAAATGCATGTATGTATTTATAAAAATTGAAAATAGAAATACAACACTAAAGGATATTATTATTATAAAGTATACCAAGCACGTTACGAAATCGGTACCCACATAATCTATCCTTTCAAAACTTAGATAGACACAAAACATTCATACGTACATGTATATGTGTTTTTGTTTGTCATCTTTGATTGGTTTCATTACATTATTATTACCAAGCTACAGTCAATAAGTAAGTATTTCTTTATATTTAATCAAAGCCATAAAGCCCCAGCGCGTTTAAGCATTGGAATGAGAGAACGATTGAGATGGAGACTCATGACTTGATTGGCTCCACCAACAAGCTGCCCTCCTATGAACACCACTGGCACGGTCGGGCTACAGCCAAGTTGAGCCAATGCATGCTCTATCTCTTTTCCCCTGTTGATCTCGTCTAGCTCATAGATCGTCGGGTTCACGCCAAGGTCTAAGAAGAGAGTCTTGATGGTGTGCGACATGCAGCAAGAGTTTTTGCTAAAGATCACTACCGACTTTTCCAAGATCATCTTCTGTAGCTTCTCCATTGTTATTTTAACTTGAAAGTGTGTTCGAAAAGTGAATCGAGGAGGATGAAATAGGTTGTGTTTTGATTACAAGAAAAGGGATGAAAATGGGGTACTAGAGAACCGTTAAAGAGATTGTGATATCTTTGGGTGAAGACAATAAATAAGTTTGAGTTTATGTGTTTGATGAAGAGAAATGTCTACAAGGTACTATATATAAGGTACGTGAAGATATGATATTATGGGTTCGATGTAACACTTTTTAAGAGAATAAACTTTTATAGCAATATTTGCGGCTATGATCGGTTCACACCTTCTTGACTCTTTGCCTCTTGCTTGCAGCTAAAGAATAAAACTAATTCGGTAAAACGTACAGAAAACAAAATCTCTAAGTTGTGTAAGAATATTTGATACGGACGAATCATGTCACGCCTCTATGGTACGGCCATATATTTTCATTGTCAAAAGATATATCACTTTATCACTTTCAGGGAATTTAATTAGTGTTGATGCTTCATAACTGGTATATAGTTTTCATAATTTTTTCAATTAGAAAGTGTTGATGGTAGATTTTGGGCTCGGGCCCAAAACCCTTAGCAAATCTATCATCCTCTGCGGCCCAGCAAACCTGAAAAACCTTGAAGCCCAAGAAGAGCCCAGTGAATATCTTCTTGCCGACCAAAGGGCAAAAAGGACATTTCACACGTGCAGGGTACCCTACCTCTACGCCCTATAAATAGGAGAAAGCAATGATTGCGAAGGGGATCCCGATATAACGACTGGAGCAGAGAATATTGTACAAACCGTCAGAGAACTTTGCGGCTCGGCTCGTTAACTTAGAAATTAAGCTCGTCTATTTTTGTAGTTGTCAAGCTCGTCATTTAATAAGAGATTCTTCTTTCTTCCCTTGAGAACTCGTACTTGTGTGATTTGAGGATCAACAGTTGGTGCGCCAGGTAGGGGGACAGCTCGAAGATTTCTCTCAGAACGACGAGCCTACAACACGGAAAATGGCAGATGCATTTCTCAACGCTCTCGGTGCCAGCGCGTCCAGTTCGGGAGGAGAAGCGTGCACTCCAGTCGACGCACCGCCCTCTTTACCTCCGACACCAGAAGGACCAATTGCAGCAGCAACGGGGTCGCCTCCGGCACCACATCCCGACGCCCTGGCGGCACCTCCGAGCGGACGTAACCCAACGAACCCACAGGCCGATGATAGGGCCGGGATGAACCAAAGGAGCCGAGGCCGCACTGAACCGGACGACCTGCTTCAGAACATCCTCGCGCACCTGAGCCAACAAGAAGAAAGGACGAACGTGCGACTCGAGTCTTTGGCAGCGGCCCAAGCTTGCGCTCAGGACGAAATCAACCGCCTAAACGCAAGTCAGACGCAAGGTGTGCGACCCACTCAAGGAAACCTAGTACCAGCTCGGCAAATCCATCCTGTAACTTCATCAAGCGAGAGTGCCCGGGACCTCGAACTTGCCGAACTACGACGCATTGTCCTGGACATGAATACAAAGGTTCATAAGGCCATAAGCGCCGCACCAGAACTTGACCGCGTCCTCGACGAGACACAGCAAACACCCTTCACTCGGAGAATAACTAGTGTCTCACTTCGAGGACGTCAGAAGATTAAGCTCGAGCCCTACAACGGAAAGGGCGATCCGAAAGAATTCCTAACGTCGTTCAGCATAGCGATCAACCGAGCCGAGCTAACTGACGAAAACTTCGAAGCAGGACAGTGCCAGATTTTTACCGAACATCTGACCGGCGCCGCCCTCAACTGGTTCTCAAGGCTTAAGCCGAATTCGATCAGCAGTTACCGACAACTGTCCGTAACGTTCCTCAAGCATTACTCGCCGCTCATACAGAACCAAACAACTAATGCCGACCTCTGGTCCCTCTCACAAGGACCTACGGAGTCCCTCCGATTGTTTATCGACCGTTTCAAAGACATCATCACCCGAATCGTCATACCAGACGAAGCCGCGATCGTGGCCCTACGCAACGCGGTGTGGTACGATTCCAGATTTAGAGACGAAATCACTCTCCACGTCCCAAACACGCTCGAGGACGCGCTTCATAGAGCAACGAGATACATCGAGCTAGAAGAGGAACGGCTCGTCCTCTCACGAAAGCATGGTGTGACGAAGACACCGGCACCGAAAGAAGCTCCTGTAGTGAAGCCTACGGAGCCGAAACAACACCTAGACCGCAATACGAGCCAAGGAAGAAAGCCGGCCACGTTCGCCATAAATAGCGAAAATACGACGCACAAACCTTGGAACAAATGGTCGAGAGACACCGACGCCGATGCAACAGGGCCTGTATATTGTGCATATCATAAGAGCAAGGCCCACGCAACAGAGGATTGCCGCTACCTGCAAGGACTCCTCATGGCCAAGTATAAAAGCGGCGGTATCGCCATCGAGTGCGACCGCCCCCAAGGGAGTAACAAAAACCAAAGACGTAACGAAACAGCTGCTCAGCAGTTCCTTGAAGGACTTGCCGAAGAAGCTACCGGCGACGACGATCAAGCGAACGACCCGGCCAAAAGGCAGCGCCAAGGCAAAGCTATCGCCGACGCCCCCAAAGTTGTCCGACAAATTCATATGATCATGGGCGGCCTCCAAAATTGCAACGATTCAGTCCGATCAATCAAACAGTACCGAAAGAAAGCCGAAATGATGAAGACGTGGCCAGTAACACCGAGCCAACCTTCCGAGGAGATCGAACCCATTTCATTCACCAAAGACGACCTCGTCGGAGTCGATCTTCCCCACAACGATCCCCTTGTCGTCGAGCTCATCGTCAGCGACAGCCGCGTCACACGCGTCATGATCGATACAGGCAGCTCGGTCGACCTGATTTTTAAAGATACTCTCACCGCGATGAATATCGCCAACCAACGTATAAAGCCGCGTTCTCGACCATTGGCAGGATTCGATGGCGACTTCATCATGTCCCTAGGCACCATCAAGCTGCCCACGTTCGTTGGCGGCACGATCGCCTGGGTTAAGTTCGTTGTCATTGACAAACCGGCGATATACAATGTAATCTTGGGAACGCCGTGGCTTCATCAAATGCAGGCCATCGCGTCCACCTACCACCAGTGCGTCAAGTTTCCCACTCATCAAGGAGTCTTCACCCTCAGAGGAAATCAGCAAGTAGCGCGGACGTGTTTTCTGATCGAACACAAGAACCGCGCCGAAAAGAAGTTATAGCAACCAAAGAAAGAGGAGCCCGCGCCTAGCTCCGTAACAGAAAAGGCGCCGGGTAAGTCCTATGAAGAATCGGAGCTGAGCCGAACAGAACTCGTGAATATTGACGCGTCAGACCCACTACGGTGCGTTAGTATCGGAGCGGAAATTAGTTCAGAAATCAGAACGGCCCTCGTGGCCCTCCTCACAGGGAACTCGTCGACCTTCGCTTGGAGCGTCGAAGATATGCCGGGTATCGACCCCTCAATAACATCTCACGAGCTCGGCGTGGATCCAACATTCAAGCCTGTGAAGCAGAAAAGACGCAAATTGGGTCCAGAACGAGCCAAAGCAGTAAACGACGAGGTCGAAAAGCTATTAGGCGCCGGTTCCATTGTTGAAGTCCGCTGTCCGGAGTGGTTGGCAAACCCCGTCGTAGTAAAAAAGAAGAACGGTAAATGGCGGGTGTGCGTCGACTTCACCGATCTAAACAAGGCATGTCCAAAGGATAGCTACCCTTTGCCACATATCGATCGGCTCGTTGAGGCCACGGCAGGGAACGAGCTCCTATCGTTCATGGACGCTTTCTCCGGGTACAACCAAATCCTTATGCATAAAGACGACCAGGAAAAGACGTCCTTCATCACTGACCGCGGAACGTATTGCTACAAGGTGATGCCTTTTGGTTTGAAAAACGCCGGGGCAACATACCAACGCCTCGTTAACAAAATGTTCGCCGAACAGCTCGGCCGAACTGTCGAAGTCTACATCGACGACATGCTCGTTAAATCTCCGAAAGCGGACGACCACGTTCTGAACCTCCGACAATGCTTCGACGTCCTAAACAAATACCAGATGAAATTGAACCCGGCCAAGTGTACGTTCGCGGTTACTTCCGGCGAATTCTTGGGCTACGTCGTCACCAAAAGGGGGATAGAAGCCAACCCGAAACAGATTCGCGCTATACTGGAACTACCTTCCCCCAGAAATGCTAAAGAGGTACAACGGTTAACCGGACGGATCGCCGCCCTTAATCGATTTATCTCAAGGTCAACAGACAAGTGCTTGCCATTCTACAACCTCCTAAAGCGGAGAGATAAGTTTACTTGGGACGACGCAAGTGAGAAGGCATTCGCCGAGCTTAAGACGTATCTGACGACGCCGCCGGTACTTGCAAAGCCTGAAAACGGTGAAACTTTGTTCTTATACATAGCTGTATCAAGCTGGGCCGTCAGTGGGGTATTAGTACGAGACGACCGCGGCGAACAGAGGCCAATTTTCTACGTAAGTAAGTCATTAATCGAAGCCGAGGTCCGCTATCCTACAATGGAAAAAGCTGCGCTGGCAGTCGTCACGTCGGCTAGAAAATTACGTCCCTACTTCCAGTCCCACACTGTAGCCGTGCTCACAAACCAGCCCATCAAAGCCGCATTGCATAGTCCTAGTCTGTCCGGAAGAATGACTAAGTGGGCCGTCGAACTTAGCGAATACGACATCGACTTCCGGGCTCGGCCAGCCATGAAATCTCAAGTCCTCGCCGATTTCATCGTCGAACTGCCAGCAGCAGATTCGGGTGATACCGCGCTAAACACCAATTCGAGAAATGGAACTTGGATCCTCTACTCGGACGGCTCGTCATCGTCACACGGTTCAGGCGTCGGAATCCGGCTTGTCTCACCAACCGGAGAAATGTTGGAACAGTCTTTCCGGCTCCGTTTCACGGCTACTAACAACGTCGCCGAATACGAAGCACTCATCGCTGGACTCCAGCTCGCAATCGGAATGAATGTCCAACGACTACGAGCCATGATTGATTCACAACTCGTAGCAAGTCAGTACAGCGGGGACTACGAGGCGAAGAATGATAGAATGGAGGCCTACCTCAAGGTCGTTCAAGGCCTATCAAAGCAGTTCGTAGAGTTCGAATTAACTAAGATCCCGCGCGGGGATAACGCTCCTGCAGACGCACTGGCCGCATTAGCCTCAACGTCCGACCCAGACCTTCGCCGCGTCATACCAGTCGAGAGCATCGACCATCCCAGTATTGAAGG